GTAAAAAAAGGCCAAATGTTACACTTTAATTTGTTTGTTAAAATTATAACTGTAATTACAATAATTGTAAAAAAGCTTGAGTTATTCATATTATTATTGTTGAATTATTTAGGTGGGAAATTAAATCTTACATGCTAAAATGTAATTTGTACAATTAAACTTTGTTTCTTGAATAAAAGTTAAAGCAAGAGTGAGAAACTGAGGGCCAGGGTCCAGCACTGTTCGGTGATTTCCCAGCCTCAGCACACCAACTAAATCCGGTAATTAGCAGATGAGCTGAATCAGGTATGCCTGAGCAGGAAAATCACCAAAGTGTGCAGGAGTTCACCACCCATGAGTTTAAGCATCTTTACCAAACAAAATACTATTGTTACCACTTCTTCCCAAAATCTGTAGCTCTGTTTCAGAGAATTTTGGTTTTCTTTGTTCTCGTTTTTTTTGGCATAGGTTTTTAATATGTATGACCTCATTTGGATTTTGGATTTTGATTGGCTCTTGCCTAAGACACTAGGGAAAATACAGCAGAGTTAAAAGGACACCAGTGCGCTAAGCACTGCCGCAGTGACTTTATGAGTAGCTCTTATTTACTGTGCTGCACTTTGTGCATGGCGTAGTACTGATAAACTGAGTTTTATTAATCTGGCCCATAGTGTATTTATCTACATCTAGATTCTGACATTAAAAAAAACCTTCAATCTCATATTGCAGTGATTTTTTTTTATCCATGCTCTAACTTCAGTATGGAGTTCCTACTCTTCAGTAATGAATTAAAGGTGCTTTATTAGGGCTCTCCAGCTCAGCTTCTATACTAAGACTACAAACATTTATGACAGGCTTTATTCTGTCCAGCTCAGTTGCAGAAATGAATAATAAAATACTGCTCTTCCATTTCACACACCCACACATATACGTTTCTTTAGTCATTATATTGTTTTTATCACAATGGAAGTTAAACGTCTAACAAAGAAGGTCAATCTCTCACTGCTCCACTCCTGGAGACATTACTAGGCATTCATTTTCATTTCAGAGTGTGTCTTTTAAAGGGTCTATGTAGAGTTGTACTGTTGATGAAGCAGATGTCTATAACTTGAAAATACACTATGGATTAAGGCAGCCCAAAGAGCATTATGTGTAGCCTGATGTTTTAAATCTCTTAAAACTCTTCTGACGTCGACAAACTCATAAACCCTGTTAAAATCCCAGGAGAAACAGCTGAAACAGCATCAGACTTACCCCAAGAGTAACATGGAGCACTACGCTGCACAGTTTACCAGTCACATTGCTGTTATCTGAAAGCCTCTGCAGTAGTAAAAGCTTTAGTGTCAGCTGTAGTGATGTCTGACCAGGTGATTTTTTATATTTTTATTCAGGAGGACAAAACCATACACACTTCAGGTGTAACATTCTTCACATTTCTAGAACAAACACCCTTCTTTTCCACTCACCCACACCATTATCACAGAGAAACAGGAAGTACAAAACTTCGCTCAATTAAGTCAGTGTGTAACAGTCTGTCTTTGATGTCAAGGCTTCTTCTAGTGTTTCCTGAATAAAGCAGAAAACATTAATCTTACTGTGACAACTACTTCTTTGTGTCACTTTACTACAGTCATTTAAGCCCAATTGAAATTGCCCCAACATTCTCAAACACACATCATTATCCACCAAATACCATCATTATCCACCTAGTCTTTCTGACAGTTGCGGTATATATATCATGGTATATATTTTTTCAAATAAAACCATTCTGAATGCTTAAGTAAACTGAAATAGTAAAATGCAAAAGAGTAACTGAACAATATATAATTAAGCCAATGTCAATATTGCTTTCTACAACTAGCCCCATGAGCCTGGCTAAAAATGCTGTTTCACACCTTAATTCTTTATGTTGGCTTCTTATTCGCCAGGTAGTTGTTTAAACGTTTCACTCCACCTTAAATCGAGCAACAATTACATTCTGGCCCTGTGCAAGCCAGTAACTGCTGCACCTTTTAAGGTGGAACAGGAATTTTGAATGAGAAGCCAACTTCGTGGAATTTCTCAAGTCATTTGTCTCATATGTGCATCGTATGTTTTTGATCGGTCACTCAAACTGTTCCCTCCTGTCAAAGCATGCAGTTCTTCACCACAAAGAGAAATGAAACCCACCAGACCCTCTGGCAACATCCAACAGGCTGCTTTATTCTCCACCAAACAGCATCATTCCCCAGTCCAGTGTGCTCTGGGTATTTGTCAATGCCAAACTTTTGTTTATCTAATGAAAAAATGTTCATCAAAAACATGGCTGTGCTCTTTCATCCTCCACATCAGCATCCAATGTTAGTTATAGTCTCTCAGTGGCTTGTATTTGGAGATCAGAGACAGTGTGTGATGTATCTGTGCTGTTTACTGCCAGCTCCGCAAGGCTGAAACTCTGCAGAAACAGGCTGAGGTGAGCTGCTTTAAAATGGATCTGCCCTCCTCCCCTTTTCGTGCTGATTTATCCTCACTGAAAATCACCACTTTAAATGCAAATGATTGGCCTTTGTAGAACATCAGCAAGCAATAATGCCCTGATGGCTTATACAGTAAGTAAATGTGGGGGGAAACTATTTTTCAGGATGGTGAGTGGGGGTGGGTGGGTCATTCATTCTGCAGCAGTTTCCTCTAGGGGTTACACAGACTACTCAACTAATGTATCCACTAGTTGGAAATGTAGGGAGCTGTAGACTAGGCACAGAAAATGCCTGATTTGAGTATTTGTTACTTCATTACTCTCAAACCATTTCAAAAGTGACAAAAAGAATTCCAGCGTAAACTACAAGTTGGCCCACTGGGTGCATACTGTTAAATTAGTTGAGCTTCCTGAGTATCTACATTGTAAAAAAGGATATCTTGGCAAGTGAAGTCATCTTAAATCTAGTAGATATATCTAATACTTCTCATTTTGAGATTGTTCTAAGATTATTTGACTTATTTCTAAACAATTTTTGGTTAACTTATCTCACTATTGGCAGATAACTGTGCTTGTTTTAAGAAACAATGCTTAAAACAAGCAAACTTATATAGAGAGACAATGTGGTACAGAGTAACGTAGAAGTAATGAGACTACTTTTTCCAAAAAGTAATAAGTAACGTAAACCTATTACAGCCCAACAGAAGTAATTAGTAATGTGGACAGATTACTTATTTTATAATTACCCCAGCACTGAAGCTATCTATACTAACAATAACAATAACACTAGCAGTAACACTATCTCTGCTGTACCTGGATTACTTTTCCCTCTTAACACCCAAAAAATCACACTGAACAACTTCCTCTCCATAATGTAGTTTATCGCTTAATTGCCTTGTTCATGGCAGTCTGTCCTCATACAGTGTCATCATATATATACACATATTATAAAAACAGGTGTTATATCAGACCCTAGGCAGCTGCCTACCTTAGCCTAATGCGACTGTCCTGGCTAGCATCATTAAGTTTTCAACATGTTTGGATCACCCCTGTAATTTATTTTCTTTAAAGAAAATAACTCAGAAAGACCCAAAACTTGATTTATTTTAAAGGTTCACTCTTCTAGAATTAATTCTTATGATTAAAAACATTGTGTCAAATGCATTAGCACAAAATTCTCATTTTTTTCTATTGAAAACATGGGCTTTCTCAGTATCTCTGTAAAAAAAGACTTCTGGTGTGCTACATAACAGCTTATTTATGTACATCTAAAATAAGCTTGAACCTATCTTGGCCTAATATACAAAATATGTTAATAAGAGGATTACAACATGGCTAGAGGAAAATTACAGTTATAGAACATTCCTGTGTGGAAAGGAATTTCAGAGAATGTATCCTAGTTAGGACAATTAGGTTAGAGACAAAATTACCCTTGAGCTTAGATACTGCCAAAAACAAGAGTTAGAGCTGATACCTAGATAGAGAGATACACAATAAGACATCAAATTTCTATCCCACATCTATCTGTCAAAATGTGTGTCCTAGGAGCAGGCAGCAGTAGTCTGGCAAAACCACAGCATAAATTTGATTTTGGCTCCCTGAAACTCCACTGATGCAGGTTCAGAACATGAAGTATCATCCCTGGGGGGGTGAACCTCTGTTTTTATGTGTGGAGCTGTTAGCTAAGCTACTCTTGCACCATTATACTGTCTTTCTTCACACACTATAACACAGGGTCTATTCCTACTCACTGATGCTTCACTGATGAAAGTTTAGAGGAAAAAGTCTAAAAACTGAGCAAGTAAAGTCGAGTGACTGGTGTTGGACTGATAGAAAGACAGAATCTAACCTGTTCTGTGGTGTACTGATCTAAATTATTAACGTGCTAAGCTATTCGTAGCATAATCAGGTTCACTGTGCTCTCCTGAGCACCGTTCAACATTTTGCATTTGTTGTTCAATTTATAATTTAACATTTACTGGGAGTAGAAGTGAAAATCTCACTAGTTTATTTTCTGATTATTCAACTTATAGCAGGAGCTTATTTTAGTTTCTGTTCTGCAACATGTCATCTGTTCAAACATAAAGAGCTGTATTCCCTATTCAGTAGTGTGCAGTAGGTGGAGGGGTAGGTCTTGGAAACGAGGAGGCAAGGGGGCGTTTGCAATTTGCATAGATGTGCATATTCATAGTTCTTTGTGTTCTTAATGAGTGTTCAGGTTCAAGGATGCTCCTATGACATTTTTAGATACAACAATAATACTTAAAAATATTTTAAAATTGATTTGTCAACAGATTAAATTTTAATGGTTTAAATTATGACTTTTGGAATACTTTAACCATGGTAAATAATGGCCTAGCAACTAGCAAGCTAGTATCATTTCAGACATTATACTCTGTACCAAAGTGCATAAGGGAAGACTACAGAAAGTTAGAATGTGCCATGCTCACACTACACTGATAAGTTATTCAGCAGAAGGTTCCAATAATTGTGTGTGTCTGTAAGATTTGATTTCAGTTAGTTTTCAGGAAGCTTGTTTATTTTTAGTCTGCATTTTAAGCTGTACCTCATATTCCTGTGAGAAGCGCAGGCCGTCGTTGGCTTTGAGTCGCTCTATGTGGTCAGCTAGGTCACACACGGAAACAGGCGGGTGCTCTCTCATCCCTGCAGGACAATAACACAGGGATTTAGGGAGGTTTAGTCATAGCCGCACATTGTAATCTCCTGTACTGTTTACAGCAATTAGGAAAGCTGTGAGCAACACACACATATACAAATTCGTATACAAGCAAACTTCATCAAAAAGATGAAGGCAACGAAAGCATGATGCCTTTGTAAGAGAGCATGAGGGTGACAGAGACAGAAAGAGGGAGGGAGAAGGAAGAGAGTAAGAGAGAGAGAGAGAGAGAGAAAAAAGAGAGAGAGAGAGAGAGAGAGAGAGTGAGAGAGGTAGAGTGTATCACAATGCTAAATGCTAACTCAGTGATATGAATGATATGAGTGGACATGCTGACAGGTTGGTTGGGGTCTGGATTGCTGCACAGTGAGATGACTGCTACCTAGGCCTGAGTGATGGCCTATGAAAATGACTACAATATTTATCAAAATCAAATAACGCTAATGCAAGTTTGTAGTTTTGTGGTAAATTGTTACAGTGTTTCTTTATCCAGTAGCAGTAAACGCTTTTAACTTAAACAACTGCTACTTCAGTACACTACATGCCACTCCATGCTTTCTTTCTGTGGACAGGGAAGGAGAAGTCTAGCTGTTCACTGACAACAGTCCAAACCAGCGGGACAGTTAGCAGAGTCAGCTTGCATGACTTTATTTCATGTGTTCTTGCATCTTTGTTGACTGTTAAGACATGTGTTGCATTTTGAGTGTAAAACTGCAACACTTTCAAATGATCTACTTTTATTACTAAAATATATTACATTATTATTTTATATTATTAATTATTTATGAAATACTATTTAATACTATTTATTTTATGTTCTAAATTATTTGTATATTTGCCCAGATTAAGCCATTTTCTTTATTAAGGGGCAAAAAAACTATTCCATCATAAAATATGATATAATAATGATAATGACTTCCTACAACAAAATAATACAAAAACAGTAAAAAAAAAACAAAAAAACAACAACAATAACATAAGCCTCCTATTTATTACTTAAAGAATTACAAAGCTAAAACATTCAACCCAACCGCCCTCCCATGCTTTTCATTCAACCAAAGGTAGAGTGAAATGCTTTGCTCCAGCTGTAGAGAGGATGTGAGAGAACGGTGATTTAAATGCAGCCAGCAGGGGGCAGCACACAAAGCCTGAATGGACAGATAGGGGAAAGGGAGCGACTGGAGAAAAGAGACAGTGGAACAAAAGACAACTGAACAGGAGGAATGCACAGGAGGAACAGATGGAGACTAACTTGGAGTATTCGGGCAACTGGGGGCACTGGAACCTGCGGAGAGAAGAACGGGGAAGGGAGGTGTAAGAGCTGTCTGAAAGCCCACAGAGGTCTCCCAACACAGAGAAAGGGGAGAGGAGAAAAAGCAAAACATAGGACATGGGTGAAAGGAGGAAGGAGAGAAAAGATAGGGAGGAGGAAAGAAAAGAGGAGAAAGGACAGATGAAAGAGGAATGAGAAAAAATGACAGAGGAAGGAGAGAAAAGAGGAGAAAAATGAGAAGAAGAACAGAAAATATGAAAGAAAACTGAGGAGAAAAGTGGAGAGAGCAGGAAGAAAACAGAAAGGATGAGAGAGGAAATAGGTGAAAGAAGATTAAAAGAGAAGCAGAGGAAAAAAGGGATGAGGAGAAATGAAAGAAAAGAAAAAAGGAAGGAAATTACAGAGAAAGCAATGACAGGACAGATAGGAGATAGGAGAGTAAAAAAAGAAAGAACAGAGAAAAGAGAGAAGAAAGGAGAAAGAAGAGGAGAGAAGAAAAAGGACAGAGAAGGGAATTACTGAGGAAGGATAGATAGGAGGGGGGAAGAGGAAGACGAGAAAAATTAAGAGAGAAAATGAGAGAGGAAATAGATGAGAAAAGAGAAAACAAGAAAAAAGAGAAGAGAAATGACAGAAATAAGAGAGAAGAAAGAGAAGAGGAAGAACAGAAAACATGAGAGTAAAGGAGAACAGAAGGAGAAAAGAGAAGAGAGAAGAAAAAGAAAAAGTCAGGAAAGGACAAAAGAAGAAAAGAGAAGAGGAAGAGGAGAGAAGAGGCAGAAGTGAAAAGAGGAAAGAAAAGAGGAGAAAGAAGAGGAGAGAAGAAACAAGGAAATAGAAGGGAATTACTAAAGAAGAGGAAAGAGGAGAAGGGGCGAAGATGAAGAAGAGAAAAGGGAGGAAATGAGTGAGGAAGAAAGGAGAGATGAAGAAGAGAGAAGAGGAAGAGGAGAAAAGATGAGAGAGTAAAGGAGGGTAGAGGGAGAAACGCTAAAAATCATCCCCATCATCGGAAAGGCACTTTGTTTAGTATAGGTTTTTAGACAAAATAATGTAGTGGTTTTTCAGTCCAGTCTGAGTCATTTTTGCTGTTAAACATGCTTTAACACTTGAAAATACTTAAAGTAAAAAAAATAAAGGGCAAAAAAATAATTTGTACTATTGTTACCTTAGTCCAAATGCAATCAACTGCACATTTAATGCTTGAAGTTTGGAAAAAGTGTGGAAAAAATGTATACTTTAAGATAGCTACCTCTGTTTTCCATACTTTTGTTCACTTTTATAGATAATACTATGTCATACAGTGTCAGAAACCACACAGCAGAGTCTATTTGAGATCATTACACAACTCAATTTAATTTGATTTTTCAGCAAACTGTTGCTTTAACCTTTTAATACCAGCATACTTCATATTCTGCATTGAAGTAGAGAAATGTTTCGTTCTGACAAAATGCCATATGCCTGTATTGTGTGGCGTATATCCCTGTGAAATCTCAGGACATATTTATGCTTCAGAGTCATCTGTATTGCCTGTCCATTAGATCAGTGTACACAGATTGAACAGCTTTAAAACAGACTGAAGTTTATCTTTTTCTACAATATGTTTTTGTTTAGCCAGTCAAAGGGTAAAATTTGTTTCAAAATGTGACTGATGACATAGAGCTGCAGCACACTAGCAGGTCCAGCTCAACTTTTGAAAGACTTCAAAAAAACATTTTCTTTAAGATGGGGGCTGGAAAACCAGAGTATAAACCAAAAACGCCTACTGACTGCACTGAAAAAATGAAACATATTTGTGTTCAGCAACTGGTATCACTGAAGCTGGTGTTGAATCATTAGATAAATAACCTGAAGAGTAACACTCTAGCACCCCAGGTCAAATTACACATTTTGTTGACTTTCTAAGTGAAAATAAGTACAAATCCTTTGTATGGAAAACACTTAAATATGGCATTTGTCTGCCAATTTTATTTTATTTCTATTTATTTATTTCTATATAAGTTTAACATATAGGAAAAAAATAAAATATATGTATATAATACAATATATAATATGTGTTTACAAATATAATAACATATATATTTTTCCCAATATGTTACATTTAGCAAATAAACAGTAATTGTGTATTAAAATGTGCAGAACTGTGTTCTCTATACGGGATGTGTTAACGTATTTTCACTCAGCAATCAACAAAACATATAATTTGTCCAGAAAATGTTTGCATACGACTGTGTGTCCAGGCAGCCACTTCTAGGCTTAGTCCTTAAAAGGTTAACTCCTCTGGTAATTCACAGTTAGTATGTTTGACCTGTTTACGAACTAAAATGTTGAGTGTATCACAAGTCTAACTGAATCAGAGAATACTGTTTTAACCAAATGAGGTAGATAATGCTTGAATGGAGTCTGGTTAAGTTGGTCTGATACTAAAAAACCTAAAAAGTCTACATCTTTAAAGGCCCAGTCATGCAGCTTGTGGAGCCAGAGCAGATTGGCCTTTATGCAGAAACTCCCTGCACTGTCAGAAGGGTTTTCACAGTGAAAGAGAGCAGGGACCACAGCAGGAAGAGAAGGACTAAGAGGAAAAGAGGAATAGAGAGGAGAAAAAAGAGAGATAAAGAGTCCCTCCTGTGACTTATCCTGCTTAATTCCTCCCAAGTTCAAAGCTCAGCGTGTACAGAATGAGGGTGTGTAATTAGATGGTGTGGTGTGTGTGATGTGTGCGTGTAAATGGCTGACTATCCTCTTCTTCAGTGTGTCCTTCATGTTGAGGTGAAGCTGATGGTGAATAATACTCCTTATCTCCACACTAAAAGCCCAGCTATACTCCACAGCTCCATAGCGCTTCCACAGAGCGGCAGCTATTCAGCCCAATCCACACAGCTTACAGCAGATTAGACTCTAGCTTCAGTTTAGAAAGATGTCCGTTTGACCATATGTGCATGTGTCTGTGTACGTGTTTTTGTGCTTGAATTGATCTGACTGTGTACTTGTGTTTGTATGTGTACATTCATATACCGTACTGTGCAAAGGTCAGAATTCATTTTCAGTCAAAACAGCCAAGAAGTACATGCTATTTATGTTTTAAGAGACATTTCTGAGTAGATACACTACATGGCCATAGGCCTGTGGACACCCCTAGTAATTATTGAGCTCAGGTGTTTTAGCCACACTCACTGCTAACAGGTGTATAAAATCAAGTACATAGCCATGAATTCTCCAGAGACAAACACTGGCAGTAGAATGGGTCATACTCAAGAGCTCAGTGACTTTGAGTGTGGCACTGTTGTAGGATGCCACTTTTTCCACAAGTCAGTTTAGATCTTCCCTGGGCAACTGTAAGTGCTTTTGTTGTGAAAGTGTCCATAACCAAAAACAGCTCAGCCACAAAGCAACAGACCATGTGAACTCACAGAGCAGGGCTCCCAATTGCTGAAGCACATGGCGCATAAAAATCGCCAAGAATTGCACAATGACAGCTTAATGAAATGGGTTTTCCTGTCTCAGCAGCTGCACACAAGCCTAAGATCACTATGTGCAATGCCAAGCATCGGCTGGAGTGGTGTAAAGCACGCCATCACCGGACTCTGGAACAGTGGAAAGGAGTTCTCTAGAGTGATGAATCATGCTTCACTATCTGGTAGTTTGATGAATGAATCAGGGTTTGGCAGATGGCAGGAGAATGCTTCCTACCGGAATGCACAGTGCCAACAGGAAAGTTTGGTAGAGGCACTTCCACTTGCACAAGGGAATAACAACAATGCAAGACCTTGTAGACCACCAAAACTGTCATCATCAGTTAAAAAGTCATTTAAAAAACTCATTTTGTGTTATGGCTGTCTTAAAAAATTGTCAACCACCAAAATAAGATCTGCTCAGCAGTGGTTCTGTGTTTAAGGAACTTGACCAAGGATGGCCAAGGTAGATGGCAGTTGAAAACTGTGGAACAACAGATGCACTACAGTCAATATTATGTACCTGTTTAAATGGCCAATGTGAGAAAGTACATCATAGGTATACCTAATAAGCCTTCCATCTACAGGACTGTACATATGTATTTTGTTTCTATGTGCCTGTTTGTTTGAATGTGTATGTGAGAGCTGCCTTACCTTGTGTTTGGTAGTTGAGTCTTCTCATCTCTACAGGGTCGGAGGAGTGGGCTAGCAGATGATCCTTCACTCCGGCAGAGTGCTCATCTTTCGCTGAGGGAGAGGCTCGCTTCCTACACACCACAACAAGAGGGGCAATTAGAGCAGAAACTACACATACACATAAACACATACACAAACAAACAAACAGCAAACAAACACGCACATACACCAGGTGTGCTTTTTCAGCCTTCTTATTGCAGTATGAAGAGCAGTGGAACATGTTTTTGTGCTGAATTCATTTGCACCTCTAATTTGAGCCTTCAATTAATAAATTCTCATGAAGTGACAGTTAGGCAAACCTCATAACTGACGTGCAAAATAAGGTGCCTATTTCCATTTCTTTTCAAGGGGAGAAACGTGGGAGAAACATGTGATTGCTGCTGCACATGTTCTGTGCAGAACATTAACCCAAACCGATCAAGTAGCCTCCATCACGCACAATCAAAGGTAAGGTGGGCATTCACTTACAGCTGCAGTGTGTGTAGGGGGGGGCTGTAGTTGCAGTTCTTTCCGGATCAAAATCATTACATAAACAAAAAGAAGCTTCTTTTTAGTGTAGGTTGTTTTTGCTAGCAGTACCACATTTGCTGGCAATAGCAGTATTTAAACTTTAATGAATAATGTTTGTGCTTTTGTCCATTTTTGTCCATGTTCCAGTCCAAAACTACAGGGGTAAACGTCAGACACATGTCTTGATTGACTACATTTGGGACAAAGGGAACACTTTGTAAATTTGATTTCTGTTGTCACTTTAACTCATCACAGGAGACCCAGAGGCTATGGGGAAAAAAGAATGAAATAATGGATGGCACCTACCTCTCCTGCTTGCTGTGTCCATCCAGAAAAAAGCAGAAAGAAGTAGAAAGAATGACAGAAAGTATGTCAAAAAGAGAGACAGAGTCAAATAGAACATTTCAGAGTTTGTCAGAAATACTGAGGACCCAAGGTAAAGCTTTAAATTTCAAGTTAGAAATGACATCTTATGAGCTCCTTGCTCAGTGAATTTGGTCTATTCTGATTCTGATTCCAACTCCCCTACTATGTCCCACTCTTTTGTACACAGCTTTATTAGACGTCTGTGGTGACATTTAGAAAATTAAGTTTTACTTTTGCCAGTGCAGACCTGTGGATCTGACTATGCCTAATGACCTTGTCACATAATTTACTGTAGTTCAGAAAGAGAATATAAGAATGCAAAGGAAAGAAAGAAAAGCAACAATGAAATTTTGAATTAAGTGAGTAATTAATTATGTATGCATATTTTGTCATTTTATTTTTCTCCTGTGCTATATCATAGTTCCCTATTTTTTTATTTATTTTTTTGGTCTTGCGTTGCTACTGTATTTCGATATTTATTTATGCTATCATGTTTTTCATTTTTTTTACTAAGATTATGCACCAACCACTGGAATGCTCCTCCAAACACCTTATTCTCCACCATACACCATAATTCTATAATAAACACCATCAATCTCCAACAAACACCTCAATCTCCACCAAACACCACTATTCTCCAACAAACACTTGAATCTCCACCAAACACCACCCTTGTGCAACAAAATCTAAAGTCTTCCAAAAGACACCATAATTCTCCACCAATCACCATGATTCTCAAACACACATCATCATTCTCCACCAAACACCGACATTCTCCTACAATCACCATAATTCTCCACCAATCACCATGATTCTCAAACACACACCATCGTTCTCCACCAAAGTGGAAACTGTGATTGACTTTAATCTGGCTTTCCAAACCCAAATTGCCAATCAGTTCATATCTTAAAGTGGTAACAGAAGCGTAATGTATCAGAGCAAGTAAAAATGTTTTAACGAGTGTTTTCAAACACTGTATTGTGGCCAACATGGTGGGTTTATTCTCATGTAAAACGGTGTAAAATATTTTTATTGCTTTGATATGTTGTTTAAACAGAATATTCAGAAATACCCACTACGATTACAAGAATAATGATTCTCATACAATGAAATGACCATATAAATTGAAGAATTTCCCAACACTACTCTTCTAACTTGACTATGCCTTTTCCTAGCAACTTTTTGTGGTCCTCCTTCTGTGTTTGCCTGTATAAAGCTCCCCAGTGCTGGACTTGCTGAGGTGTCTGGATTCTCTCCCGCGGTGCAGAATCATGGTTTAACATCTGCACTCAAGCCAAACCTCCTCACTGTCTTTAATTATCCATGGCATTACTCTCCCATCTCCCCACTGACTCTATATTTTCAACTCTACTTTAATGGAACTGTCTGTTCCTTGATGTGACTCAGCAATTCTGCAGGGTTACAGTGAGTCAGCAGTTTTGGTGAGACAGGATTCTTATACTCCTGAGAGAGAACACAACCAGCTTTTTATACCTGAGAGATAGAAAAGCATGGAAACTGACTGGACTCACACATAAAAACATTTGTTTCCAGCTATCGAACAACACAGCAAAATATTGTTATTGTTGATATCAATTATCAAAATGTTGTACATTTTCATTCAATACTCAATTTCTATTATCAAATTACTGGATGGAATATCAAAGAGTATTTTTTTATTTAAAGTTTAATAGTCTCATTATAATTACTGTATTGCTATTATTTCAGACTTTTGTGCATTAACCATTGTGATTCAATTGTGATGTAATGTATTTGATACATCCAAATTGTGACACGTATTATAATGAGTATTGCATAGTAAGTTAGTTGGCAACTATTATTATTATTATTATTATTATTATTATTATTATTATTATGTGTGAAATGTCTCTCACCTTTTGAAGAGGAGGATGGCAATTACAATGATGATAATGAGAATGACGGCAAGTACTGGTCCCATCACCCACAGCATCTCAGGATCCTCTGCATGCCGGGACATCCCGCTGTGGAGCCGCACCATGATGGGGTCGGAGAATGGACTCGCAGCAAACGTTTTCTAGAGCAAGCAATCTAGAGTCAGAATCCTTATATTGAACCTCTGGGGCAACAGCAAACATGTAATAAATTGTTTCTTTTAGCTGGTGAAACCAAACCACAGGCCCTCCAGTTTGATGAAGTGGAATGTATTTCATGAACACTAACAGTCAATAGGCTTTACTTAGATGCTCGTATGTCATATTGCAATGTTTAGCAACTGTTTTTGAAAGGATTTACCCCTTCTATTTGCTTAAAACAGGAATCTCAAACTAAAATAACCTAGGCACAACTATCTGAACTAAGAGCAGATTTTAAAATGAAATATTGGAAAAAGTACTTAAAATAATAATACATACTATTATTCTTAGTAGAAGTAGAATACTGTGCAATGTGTTTATTAAATATTTTAGTCTTCAATTAAATCAAGTAAATGTGTATGTAACACTCCAATTATATGGGACAACATTGGCATTCCCACTGAACAAGAGGGAAGTCTTGGAAATGTTAATTCTGCTTTCTCAGTGGATTTTAGTGGGTTTAGAACACATTCATGTCTGATGTGCAACACGCTGTATCTACTGCTGTCAGGTATTAATCTACAAAGGCAGATCTCACTGTCTAAATTAGAATAATAGCTAGCTAAATTATAACACCTGCTCAGTGTGGAGCATTTATGCTGCATCAGGTTTTCGTTTGAATGCTTTCTCTTGTATTCAGTGCTCTATTTTTGCTTTCAACATTGTAAGCTTGATTTTATACAGTTATGTTAGGTAACAAACCGTAGTGTCTGATGGATGAAGCAAATTGAACTCTCAGTTGCTAATATTTAGCTGCATATGTGTATGTGTATGAAGCCAATTGTTTCAGAGCTCAGTCTTAAAAGGATAAAAAAGTGACTGTAATTTACAACAATGTAAGATTCTATACCTCTCATGAAGTTTTTTATAGAAATGTTCTTCCAACCAATCCTATATCCCCAGTAACACAGTGAGGCTTTCTGAAAGACCCGAAGGCATATTACCATTTGCTGCTGTTTTAAAGCAATATCAGAAGAATGCTGCCATTTTATATTAATAAGTTCTCACTCTTGGCTTATTGAAACAAGTGGAGACATTCTGTGAAAAGTGTGTATTTAAACATTCAAGTCATACCACATTTGGGTCTGCAAGTAGAAAAGGATATATTTTATTACAAAATCTTCATAGACATGAAGAATCAAACTTACTGATCCAGGATGTAAATCAAATGTAAATGAACGTCTTTGCCTAACTATGTAATTACTTATGTGATTATGTTATTACATTTGCATAGTATTGCAAAATGACAGTAATAACTAGATTTCTAAAGGTTAACCAGATGCAGAAGGCCTACTCTGGTGTAGCTTCAGATGCAGTGCAGCTACCTAAACTGCTGACTGAATGCTAAATGTACTAGATGAGCTCTATTTGAGAGAGTTACAGTGCAAGAGGAAGAAACCCAACAAATCTTCAAAGCTGCAGAGAGACTGGCAAACTCTTCTGCAAACGCAGCCCCACTAATCGCTTTAGAAACAGCTCTTAGACAGCGCAGCGGGGCATGAGAGAGTGAGACGGGGAGGAAGAGATGGAGAGAGGGAAATGGATACATAGAGGGACAGAGAGAGAGAGAGTGTAGAGGGAGGAGAGGGACTACTCCACCCCACTGAGAGATGGAGGATATGCATCAGTGGCCTTTGAGGACGAATCCCATCAGCACAACACCTTCACCACTCCCTCCGGAAACAACAGCAGAAACCAAAAGAATCCAGTTCTCCAGACGCATGTGAATCATTACAGTGTGGAGCCTGCAGGCATGGAGCGCTGGGACTATTTAGGGAGTGAGAGAGAAAGAGAGAGATAGACGGGAGAGAGACAGAGAAAGAGAGACAAAGAGAGATAGGTGCGCTTCCCGTCTGTTAACAGCTTTTCATAGAGACTGAAATGGAGAAGTGCGGCAGAAAAAGTCTGTTTGTTTTAAGAAATATCTTCATGACCAGTGTTGGTGCTATTTGTGAACACAAACCACAGCCATACTTTTCAGTGTCAGCCCTGGGGAACTGGGCATTTTTGTATTTTTCACAGATGTGAAACAGTAACAAACTACTTTACTAACTACCTCATTTAATAGAAAACTAACAAAGTACTTCACAAACTACCCCACTAACTAGAAAACTAAACTACTTCACTAACTACCTCACTAACTAGAAAACCAATAAACTACTTCACTAACTAACTCACTAACTAGAAAACTAATAAACCACTTCACTAACTACCTCACTAACTAGGAAACTAATAAACCACTTCACTAACTACCTGACTATCCAACTCTCTAGCAATCTGCTTCACTGAGCACCTCATTATCAAACTCACTAACAATCTACTTGACTTACTACCTTACTATCTAACTCAATACCAGTATACTTCAATAACCTCCTCACTATCTAACTAATTTACTAGCAGCCTACTTTACTAACAACCTCACTAGGTAGAAAACTAAATAACAAACTACTTCACTAAAAAATAACTAGAAAACTAACAAGCTAAATAACTTGTTAACTCATTAACTACCTAACTCACTGACTACTAAGGTATCTAATTAAATAACAAACAAACTATCACACTAACAAATCAACAGACTTAATAAATAACTAATGTTCTTTTGATCAGAGTAACAATACTTGATCAAGATCATTATCAAATTAGGTTTGTTATAGGGACACCACAGGCTTATATGGACAAAAAAGTATTGCATGCATTCTCTACATCAGGATTGTCCAGCACAGTTGGTGGTTTTTGTGCTCTGATCCAATGTTAGTGCAAGATTAGTTTATCATTAAGTTATCCTATCATTACTGAGCTCAGAATCAGCCTAAGGTTTGCCCAGTGCCAAATATTTGATTGATCTTTAAACTTTAGTCCAAACCTTATGCACACATCTTCCCTTCTGTAACAAAACAAACAACTAATGTACGAACTAAAGTTCTTAATAATTGCTTAATGAGTTGGGTCTAGGCCTAGCCCCACAAGGGGTCATGATGGGGTGACACCCTCTCGGATGGAATGCTGTACCCCCCAGTTTTGCATTTGTGTTATTTGTCTTGCAACTTAAACGTTATTTGTATTTATTTATACTGCAGGGCAGCCTTTTCAAACTGCATTCACATTAAGTATGTGGATTTTCCAGCTAAGCAAGCTGTTTAGGCATCTTAGTCGAAACTGCCTGATGTGAGCCCATTAGATATAGCTACATGTCGCCATCAGTTTACTTCATTTTCTGTTGAAGAAACAAAGCTTGTCATCTCAATTCGATTTTTAAAGGTCTAGTTCCTACATCGTTACACCCACCAAACATCAGCCCTGCATCACTGCAAATCCTAACAGTCCAGACATTAAAAACAATCATGGAAGAGAGCTGATTTAAGTTTAGCTTAATCTGTCAACATAGCCATCATTTACTTTATTAGAGTTAGCAGAACAGATTCGCTACACAAACTGACCGTTCTGGGCAAGAAACACAGACGCCTCAAAATTGATGGACGTTTTCAGCGAGCACAGAACAAGTATGTTGCACACCAAGATGGGACAGCTAATTTATTTGAATGGGATCTTACAACAAAATTTCCCTGTAGGGAATAGAAAGATAAACTACTTATAAGATTCAAAGCTACTTTAAGACAGCTGCAACTCTTCTAAATTAGGGTAGGACAAGTAGTTTACTTTTTGACTGTGTGCTTCTCAGTAATTAGGCACTTAAGTGACATTTAAAAAGGTGGAAAAAGCCACAAAGCAGGAGTCCTTTGTAAGAGCGGTGGTTCACATCAACAGCACCATGTGTCCCTTCTGTTGTGAGTTTATCACTTCTAGGTTTGTGCTGGGTAAGCTGGGTAAAGCGCAGTTTATAGTTTTATTTGGTTTTCATGACTGGCTGGTGTTGGTACGCTGCTGTTCTTTAAAGTTAATATTTTTATTGTAATATTTGGTTAGCTTTGATATGTCTGATTCTACAGTGTTGTGTTGTATTGGTGATGTTGAAGAGAATCAACAATCATAAATGTTGATAGTTACTACAAAGAGAGATGCATATTGCCCATGGATTACTAAGTAAGGGGAGTTGAGCCCCCTCAAACATTTCTTTTGCCCCCTTGCCTAATTAAACCAGCCGAGGGGCCTGGTTGGGTGTGTTATAATAAAAAGAAGGGCACAAAGTGCCATTGATTTGAAGCACTAATCTTCCATAGCACCCCTCTGATATGTATTTTTTTTTGCCTGCAGTCATTTCCTCAACCTAACCAGGTTTAGTAGATGTATCAAGGCAGGAAAATCACCAAAACAGTGCTGGAAGTAGGCAGGCACTCCTTCTCTATATGCTCCAAAACTTCTGCCCTGTAAGTATCTAGTCCACTCAAATCTTCTGTTTTCAGTTTTAATCCGCAACAATAACATGTTTGTATTCTCTTTTCGCGAAGGACTAACGCTGCCCACAGCAAGAGCGAGCGACTTAGTCGATAGCGGTTCTTTAATCAGCAACGTCTGTAATTAAGAAGCTATCACAAACTCTATTCTGTCATACACAGAGCCAGAGGGCGTCCTGTCTTCGCTCCAGTCAGACCTATTTCATTGTTTTCACCTTGATAGAGCTGTTTGTGGAGAGACATGCTGATCTATGTGTCACATAATAAAGTTAAATGGATCAATTTGCCAGGCATAATTCACTTTAAACTTTCACACGCACAGCCTCTTTGTGCTATGCCTGACAGTCTGAGCAAGCAGAAGTCTAACAGAAAGCAGGGCTATAAATGAACCCATCTGGCTAATGTTGGGCTAACAGTTGGATTAAAACTGACCTATCAATGGGTTGGCTAACACTGGACAAACATTGGGCTGACTAACTTTGGCTGTCACTGGACTAAAGTAGGGCTAAAATTTGAAGTAGGCCTAATGTTAGGCTGTTTAACAGCAGGCTAATAGAAGACTAACACTGGCCTGACTAATGGTATGCTAAATATCATTGGGATACCACTGGACTAACAATGGGCTGACTAAGATGGCTAATATCAGGCTCACATTAGCCTGTTTATGGTTGAGCTAGATAATGTTAAGCTAACAGTGGGCTAATATTAGACTTACTAGGATGACTGACTGACTGGACAGCTATCCATAGAGGTGCCATGAGTTGACATCGACTTGATGGCACCTAACAACAAGTGCAAGTGATATTCGAATGTTGGGTTAACATTTGACTAATGCTGGGCTGATTAACCCAAGGTTAAATTTGCCCTAATGTTGGGCTAATTAATGTAGGACTAATGTTGCTGAACTAGCACTAGACTTACACTGGGCAGAGTAACATGCCCAAATGTTGGGCTGACTAATATTGGACAAGCATTGTACTAATGTTGGACTAACACTGGACCAAAAATTTAGGGCCGACTAAGATTTGTCTAATTTAGAACCAACTCTGAACCAACGTTAGGCTGAAAACTTGCTCTGTGTGTCATCTGAAAGGAATTTCTTCTCTTTTCAAACTTTTTCAAACACATATCATAGATGAAACATTCAGAGTGAGAATGGAATCTTTCCCCCTGTCCTCGTCTCTCTTTTCTCTCCCACTCTCTTACTCTTCCTCTCTGTCTGTGTCACACTTGAGGGTTAACTGCAGGAGAAAAACTTTGTGAGTGATGGCAGCAGGCTGTTGGAGAGCGCAGTGAGAGTGGAGCAGAAAGCCCTGAGTGATCCTCTCCAAGGGGAGCTTTCACACTGATCAATTTGAGCTCCTCTATCTGATGGAAGCGTCCCACTGAGTGAGTAATGCACCGCCTTTCATTGAAGTCCCTCTACTTACCAACACAGCCTCAACACAATATGTGTGAGTGTGGGGGTGGAAAAGTAAGAGAGGAAATGACAGACAGAGTCAAAGTGAAGAGGGAGGGCAAAGGACACAAAATTAGATTAATTGCAGGATTGCATTAAGATAAATATAAAGCCAAGTGAAGACTCAAATGTCACTCCTAAAAGTCTGAATATTTATCTTTTCTGCCTCTGATAGTGATAGTGCTATAGCTAACTCTCTCCTCCATGTTCACTCACTTTATCTCTGTCCTGCTCCAGCTGTCCTTTGCCCACCCAGTCAGAAGCCCTGTGGATCGGTCTCTGTTTCTCGTTGTTTCTCTCTCTTCGTCTCCTCTCTCGCCCTCTGCCATTTTGTTTAGCTCTAAATGATCAAGCTGGTTTATAGACTGATTCTTTTATCCAATTTTACAGCTCCCCATATTGTTAGTCAGCTTTTCTTTTCAGTCCTTTTCTTCTCTTTTCTCCTTGGCTTCCTTTGCTTCTCTTCTCCTCTTTCCTCTTTTTTTCTCTTCCGTTTTCTTTCCCACTTTGTCTGTTTTCCTCTCTTCTCTTCTGTATCCTTGCCTTCTCTTCTTTTCTTTCCTCTACACTCCCCTGCATTCACCTCTCCAAAGGTTATCAAAAACAAGTGTTAAGGGATGGTTTCAGTCATTTGGAGCCAAATCGCATTTCCATTTCATCTACTCCGTGCTGTTGTTCCTCCCAGACACTCGTTTTGATAATTGCTTCTAATTTGCCGCAACACTGAGTCTCTTCATAAGGCTACAATAGAAGTCACCCAAGCAAGATTGCAGAAGAAAAAACAAAGCCTTAAAAGATCATAAATTGTGTCCTTTAAATAAAACAACAAGTCTCAATGTACAGATCCTGAAACAACTGCTCACCAAGGCATTTTGGAAAAAGTACAGCAATAAAGGCATGTTTTTATCCAGCAGTGGATTAGTACAATTATGTTCTTACACATCGCAACTGTCATGTTAAAGTGTATAGTTTTGTGCCAAATACTTAACTACACTGATAATATGGACAGCAGGAGGATGCAGACAATAAAATGCAAAAAGAAACAAAAAAAAAAAGAAACAAAAAAAGTGTTTGTTAAAGCACAGCTAAAATTCAACTTGTTAGGTATATTCACAAGGTGCTAAATGTCCTCACATAAGCCATATTCAGACGGGATAAAATTCCCTGAAAGATCCAATGTTAAATTATAATAAAATAAAATACATCCTACTAGGAACTTGCTCGTCCTGTGGTAATTTTATTGCTGTCTTGATGCAACTTTTATTACTGAGGAGATGTGTAAAAAGGTTTTTACAGGAGTTCTATAGACGTAAAAAACCCTCTTTTTTGAGGTCCTCCTTAATATTTAGGGAATCATCATCATCTATGGTACTTAATATTATTATAAGATTCAGAGCATCTGGAGAAATCTCTGTAAGGGACAAGACTGAAAACAAATATTGGATGGTCATGATCCTTGGGCCGTCAGGCAGCAGTGCATTAAAAACTGACACCATCTCTAGTGGAAATAACCACATGGTTATTTCAGCAAGACAATGCCAAACCACATTCTGCACTTATTAAAACAGCATGGCTAAACTGGCCTGTCCGCAGACCAGACCTGTCACACAGTGAAAATATTTGGTGCATTATGAAACAAAAGATATGACAAAGAGACCCCGAACAGTTGAGCAGCTAAAATCCTATATAAGCAAAAAAGGGTCAACATTTCACTTTCAAAACTACAGCAATTGGTCTCCTCAGTTCCGAAACGCTTACAGAGTGTTGCTAAAAGAAGAGGTGATGTAACACGGTGGTAAACATGCCCCGTTCCTAACTGTTTTAAAATATGTTGCTGGAATCAAATTCAAAATGGGCATATATTTTTCAAAAAACAATAAAATTCCTCAGTTTTAACATCTGAAATGTTGTCTACGTACTATTTTCAATTAAATATATGGTTTATTGATTTTTACATCTCTTTTAATTTACATTGCACAGCATGCCAACTTTATATTCTTATACGTATATTCTTATACTATGCACTTTATGTTTACACTATACACTATGGTCTATATTCTTACACTATACACTATGAGCTATATTCTTACACTATAAACTATGTACTATATTCTAACATTATAGATCAGAAATATCCAAGTCTGGATCTTGAATCCAGTCCCAGTTTTTGTAATCACCGGCAGTTAATTAGCTAGTTAAGTAACTATTTATCAAATTCATAAGTTGAATATCAAGACCTTCATTAGCACGATCTGGAGTGTTAGGGAAGGAAAAAGGCTTTGCAGAGCAGTGGGTCTCCAGAACTGAGAAACTCTGTTAATAAATCTAACATTAACATTAACTCTGTTAATAAAAAATAAATTCACGAACAGTGATTACCATAGGTAGGTAGGGTAGCTTAAACCTTTACGCCAATAAAAGCGCTGCTACTTATAAAAATGTAAAAAAAAATAGTATCAGTAGTACTGAGTCAAAGCTGTTTGAAAATTTGGGAACAGCCACTGACCCAAGAGCAAAAGAGTACAACAGTGGTGTCTAAATGTGCAACTGTAGCAACAGGACCAGCAAATAACTTTAATTGAGAACAAATCAGTAAAACTCAAGAAATACACCACCAATACGCAAATAATGTCTGCCAACACATCACATATTTAAAAGTCTGCATAGTTTCTCACAATGCCGAATCATGTCTGTCATGCCATGCCATGTCTCATATCATGTCCTATGTCTAAAATTAGAGATAGAATTAGTCAGAGTGCTATTTTGTCATAGTAACGTTTGTGCCATTGTAAGACCCGAGAGACACAAATTGTATGTGCATTTGGGTGTGTGCGTGTGTGTGTGTGATACTTACTGAGTCGTGGTCTTGGAGAGCAGCCAGTATGAAGATGCAGTACTGCTGCTGGCCGGGCAGGGCTTTGTTGTAAAAGCTGTTGTAGGTTTTCTCGTCCCCCAGGATGAAGGTCTCAGGGAGAGTTTTGAGTTTGGCAGCGATGTACGGCCGCAGGAAATCCGGTGATTGCCTCTTCCGCCGTTTACTCAAACTGGATTCTCCACCAGCCTCTAACAGCTAACACACGCACACACACAGTGAGGTCAATGCGTCACTGAGGTAATGTCTAATGTAAGCAAATGTACACTCAAGTGACAATAGTTAATTCAACTACTTGGCACAAGGTGCGCCCAGTGCTAATAAAGGCATTCAATTGCTCACCCACAGCTTGTATAATCTCCATAGAAAAAGTATTGCCAATAGAATGAGATGCTCTGGAGAAGCCTTCTCAGAAGGGCAGAGGCTGATACTGCATTAACCAACTCCCTTTTAATACCATTCATTTCAGAATCACAGTGTCTTACTCCAAATGTAGTAAATCAGCTAAGAAATGTTTGGTGTTTGGTGAAGTTTGCTTCTTTTGTTTTGTACTGGAGCTATGAGGCTAATTTAGCTAAAAAGTAATGGAAGCTTATACCCACCAAAAAGCCAATAACATAATCATCACATACTTGCCTCAAATCATGTTGTGTTGTTTAGCAATCTCAAAGAGACTTGGTTATGTGGTTTCTGATACTGTTTGACATAATGTTACCTATGGAAACAGACAGAAGTCAGGACACAATTCAGGCTTCAAAATAACAGCTATTATAGCATATTACTGCTTTTAACTATGTAATGCATCTTTTGCCAAGTCTAGATATCACTATGTCATACAGTGTCAGAAATTACATAAGTAAGTCTGTTTGACTTTACTTAACAGCTAGGCACGTTTTGAGCCAAGTGGGTGATGATTTAGGCATGCATTTTGCATGATGCTTCCATTACTTGTTAGCTTCATTAGTGTCATTTCTGCAGTGCACAACTAAAAAAGAAAACATGGTCTGGCTACATTTGGGTTAAGGGGGGAAAACTGTGAAAAATTTAAATTGCTTCCCTCTTTTGCTGTCCTTCTTTTTTTCACTGTGTTTACTGATGCTCTGCGACACCTTTGTTCTCCTTCTTCAATGCTGTATGCCATTCTATCCTCACTTACACACAAACTGCGACAAGCCAAATCAAATGCAACAGGATTAAACTTGAACAAATGGAGTGTGGTGGCATTCTGAATGAAGAACACTGAGGGAATGCAGGAAAACGGCCATAATCTCAGTGCAGTAATAAACAGCAACACTCCAGCTTTGGCTCCCTGAAGTAATACACCTCTCATCTGAGAGAGTAACACTCATAAAGAACGCCCAGCTCCGCCGAGAAACGCTTCATTCTTCACTCCGAAACCCTACACTGCACTGTGCAGGCTTTGTGATTGCCACTGCTAAGAAAAAAACCCTCAAAAGCCCTGCCTTCCATCGTAGCATATTTATTTTACGAGCCCTGATGCTTTTTGATATTCAACAGGCCTCATATTAAAGTTTTGAGAGCTTTTTTCCCTCCTGTTCTGCAGATGACGGCGCATTTGTGAGAAAGCAAGCTCAGGAGAAAAAGCCCCAAAAGCTCAGTATTAATAACACAAAGAGGCAAGAAATGCTACGAGCAGAGTTTTTAGGTTTTTAGAAGCAGCAGAAGGACAGGGAGGAGAAGGCCTGTAGCTGAAACACAGCAGCACAAAACGTCAAATCGAGCAGGAGAAAAAAGTAACTTGTTAAAAAAGTCTGTTCAGCAAAGCACTGACAGACTGCAGGGTGTGGAGGGTCGTTACAGCACAGAATGGTTTACAGAAACCACAGCTCAGAGATGCTTGTGAAATGAATTCTCTGACTTTATTTGCATGGTCATCTATAGATGATATACAGCTGCTAAAACAATGAACTATATGCTTACTACTGTTACTGTAACTATTATACATTTTTTGGTAAATACTACACAAATACTACACAACTATTTTGTCAGTTAAACTTAAAATGTACTTCATGCGGTAACAAGCAATATAACTTTCTTTACTTATATCATTGCTGCGTATCTCAACTGGCCCTTAAAGTGTAAGGGGTTAAAAAACTGGTGAAAATCTGGTGAAATGCAGTTGATATCAACAGAATAAGGTTTTGAGTTGAGGTTAAAACTACATTATGTAAGATACGGGTATTTGGAGACCTCTCTGGTCGAAATTTGTAATTTCATACAACATGCAGAAAAACATTTTGTACCATTGGTTGTGCTTCAGACCTTTTCCCTAAGTGGATGAAACTGATGTTTGCAAAGAATGTTGGAAGATTGTTCAAAGAGAACTTCAAAACTTGTTAAAAAAACGTGTCTTCAGAAGATGTAACTGATGTAACTACTTTTGTCATCTTATCTTCATCAGCATAATGCAGATTTTGCATTTTAGACCGAAACATCCAGCGGGACCTTCTTTTTGAGTCTGTATGTGCGACATTAACACCTTAAGACTTATGATGTGGTCAGAAAAACTCCAGTGAAATCCATTTAAACTACAATTTCAAATGAATTACTATTTCTGGCTTTACAGCAAGAACACCATATTTCAGTGTGTTTTTGTTCTCCAGACTGAGTAATGCTACTTCTTTTAATAGAATAGTGGTACTTCGTTCATAAAACTTACATAGTGCAGTTTTTAGGTTAGGATTAGAGTGAGCCTTCAATTTTAAATTAGGGAAAAGTCAAACCTCAATGTTAATAGATATTAATCTACATGTAATTTACAACCCCAATTCCAAAAAAGTTGGGACGTTATGTAAAATGTAAATAAATGTAAATAAAAAACAGAATGCAATGATTTGCAAATCTCATAGACCCATATTTTATTTACAATAGAAAATAGAACACATCAGATGTTGAAGGTGAGACATTTTACCATTTCAGGAAAAACATTAACTCATTTAGAACTTGATGGCAGCAACGCACCTCGAAAAAGTTGGGATGGAGCAACAAAAGGCTGAAAAGTCATACTGATAAAAAACAGCTGGAGGAGCAATTTGCAACTAACTCAAGTGACTGAGTATAAAAAGAGCAAAAAACAAGCAAAGATGGGCAGAGGTTCACCAATCTGTGAAAAACTGCATCTAAAAATTGTGGAACCATTAAAAAAAAAGGTCCTCAACGTAAAATAGTGAAGACTTCGGCTAACCCACCATCTACAGTAAGTAATGCCATCAAAAGATTTTGAGAATCTGGAGAAATCCCTGTACACAAGGGACAAGGCAGGCGGTCAATATTGGATGCTCGTGATCTTCGGGCCCTCAGGCAGCACTGCATTAAAAACGCATGATTCTGTACTGGAAATCACTACATGGGCTCAGGAACACTTTCAGAAATCATTGTCTGTAAACACAGTTTGTCGTGCAATCCACAAATGCAAGTTAAAGCTGTATCATGCAAAGAAGAAGCCATATGTCAACACGATCCAGAAACACTGCCACAATCCAGAAACGCCACCGTCTTCTCTGGGCCAAAGCTTATTTATAATGAACTAAGGCAAAATGGAAAACCGTCCTGTGGTCAGATGACTCAAAATTTGAAGTCCTTTTTGGAGACCACGGACGCTGTGTCCTGTGGACTCAAGAGGAGAGGGAGCGTCCAGCTTGTTATCAGCACACAGTTCAAAAAATGGTATGGGGTTGCCTTAGTGCCTATGGCATGTGCTGCTTACACATCTGGAAAGGCACTATCAATGCTGAACAGTACATGCAGGTTTTAGAACAACATATGCTCCCATTCAGACAACATCTCTTTCAGGGAAGGCCTGTTGTTAAAACAAGAGGGGATGCTACACAATGGTAGACATGGCCCTGTCCCAACTTTTTTGAGGTGCGTTGCTGCCATCAAGTTCTAGATGAGTTAATGTTTTTCATGAAATGGTAAAATGTCTCACTTTCAAAATCTGATGTGTTCTGTGTTCTATTGTGAATAAAATATGAGTCTATGAGATAATTATTGCATTCTGTTTTTATTTACATTTATTTACATTTTACACAGCGTCCCAACTTTTTTGGAATTGGGGTTGTAATTTCATGTTAAGCACCTACAAAGCATCTACAGTGGACCATCCAATAAGTGTTCTTAATGGTGCTGAGAACATTCTGATATTGTAGGCCAAGTGTGTTATGAAAAATGAGAAATTTATGCCAATGTTTGACTTTGCTTTCTTTAAAGGGAGGAACCACTAAACTTGTGTTATGCAGAATTGCTTACCATTGTATCATCACTGTTATAAGAAAAGCTTATATCTCCGAAATGGGAACTTTAGAGAAGAAGGAAAAGCGTTCTTAACTTGAAAAAAAAAAAAAAAACACTTTTCACACAATGTAAAGAGCAGCTGATATCTTCAAATGGTAAAATGGTTATGAGGTTTTCTTATGACAGCGACAATATACTACTGGCTAAATGACTCCATCCAGCCTTGAGGGAGGTGATTCCTGCGAAATCATAACATAGCATAACACTGAATGGCACAGGCCATTAGTCCTACTGCAGCACTTTGCCAGGAGATCCGAGTAATTCAGAATAAGCTGTAGGCGATGGCAAATGGACTGGGACTCGCTACAGGCCGCCTACTGAGGCCACTCCAGCCTCAACTACCATGCAACAGTTTCAGCTGGAATAAATCCACCAGCCAAACTGGCTTCAGCTGTGGACCGAGTCCAGAACCAATCAGATTCCAACAGTTTGCTTTAGGCTTGAAATCTTTCAAACTCAAGTACATTTACTAAGTCCGCCAATGCCAAAGGTTCTCTCCAACCCTCTTAGCTTTAACTTCCACACAAACAGTACATGCACATCCACCCACCTATCCACTTAGACACACATAAATACACACTCAGCATCAACTTTATCAGAAACCTCTGGTGTGCAAGTTAAGACTGCAGCACTGTTAATTTACTTAATCTGATAATTTACTTTACTAATTTATTTGTCAGGGACAGTGCCCATCAATAAACTATATAAACACAATTGTAAATTGAGTTGGCCAAATGTTAAAACGCATATAAGGCTTGCACTTAAAATAATAACATAATCACAAAACGTACCAAACATAACACTGCATACATACAATGCACAATTTGTGTTATTGCAATCCTGTAGTTTCTGACCACAGAGTTGCTCTTGAATGGATTTTTTTGAGTGGTGGACCAATGACACTGGTGTGTGTAAAAACCTCAGCAACACCACTGTGCCTGATCCCCTCAGAACAGCACCACACAGAACTCCATGGCACTTCCAAGTCAGTATTACGGCTGTGCTGAGACACACACACACACACATACATCTATACATTGTTTCCAGTGTTCTGATTCTGTGTTTACATACCTCATCTAGATCCATGTCTTCTGGGCTTTCCCAGTGACGTGGTTTGCCTGGAGTCACAGGCACCACCACTATGTAGTAACACCTACAGGGCAAAAAAAAAACCCACAAATAAATGAATTACAATCACATATTTGAGTGAAAAACACTTTTGCATGAACACATTTGGTTTTATAATTAATTTATAAATTTAATTTAATTTATAATTAATTTATAATTTATAATTCCCACATAAAACATCAGAAGTGGTCAGAACATTGTGTGGATAGAGAAACAACTGAAAACACCCACATCTTAGCCAAGTGTCAGATTAAACATACCCTAGGTGTGATTTTTCAAACTCTGTTTGTGTTGTTTGTCAGAAAACCTGTATTTAACATTAGTGATCACTGTTTTCAGAGCGGTCCTGGCCTCCCTGGGGCCCTAAGCAAATTCTACAAAGGGGCCCTCCTACATGACTCATGAGCCATGTAAACCATTTACAATTGCCCCAAAGTCACATCTGACACCCCAGTGCTCCCACTACAATCCTCCCTTCTTTAAAACAGTTTGCTCCATCTATCATCCTAAGAACAAGTAGACCTATACATAACAGAATGAGGTACCAACAATATTTAAAATTATGGATTACACTATTATTAATTTTAACAGATGCATCAGGCCCATTCCAAGTTTTCCTTTTATACATTTTCAACTATAAAACACTATTTATACTATGCCTTGGCTGATTAATTGATGGTTATTATGTACTGAGAAATGTCTATAATGCCCAGGATGCCCATCTGATCAACATTTTAAAGCCAATACTTAATCAATAGGCAATGTCAATCTATTACTTTCCATTTTGCATTAGTTGTAACTAAACCTTGACAGAGAGACTAGATAATTGTCTTGTTTAAAAATAATGTGCGCCTATGAGGACCGCGCCATCACGCCCATATATTGCCTGGACTGGACTCCAAAGAGGCTGCTGCTGCGAGCTTCTTTTTGTACAGGGGCATATGAACACGTGTTTACACGTGACACGGTTTTGCATTTATATGACCCACCAAATGCAAGCTAATACCAGTACAAAGATACCTAGCAGATACCAGTACAAAGAGCCTAACAAACCCTTACTAGACATCTATATAAAACATCAATAACATAATGCTTATTTGTACTACAGTACAAATGCACACATTCGTTTTTTAAAAAAAAATTATATCATCCTGTAAAATACTGTGAATAATAATTATAATATGTCCCCTCAGACCCTGTACTCATGTACATATTCACATATTTATCTCTTTATCTACTCTCTTATACTCTCTTATCCTTGATTCTAATTATTCTACTTTTATTTTTTGCTTAGTTACTGTCTTATTCTCATTGAGACATTTGTCAGTCTGTGTACTACCAAGACAAATTCCTCGTATGTGCAACATATTTGGCAGAATAAAGTGATATGAGGCTTTACCAGTATGTTTTTTCCATTAAGTAAGGTGTATCATAATTGCAATAAGCAGCAAGATAATTGAAATGTGGTATTTTTCTTCCAATTGTGCAGCCCTTCTACCCAGAGAGGTATTTGGAAATAAAAAAGAACTGAGAGTCTGCCTGAAAACAGAACTGCAGAGTGTCCTGAGCAATTACAGCAAAAACCCAACTGACGCCGTGGAGCTTTTCTATCTTCACGTCACGTACGAACGGCAGACGCCATTTCAGGATTCTTCAGAGAACATGCTCTTCTACTTTTTCCCATTCGGAGTTTGAGATTGGTTTGTCGTGTGTGCGCTCAGCCCCCAGTCTGCTCTCTGATGAAGCGGTCTGGTTGAACATTAAGATACTGATTGCATTTCTAAATTATTTCTCTACAGCCTCGCAGCCTCTGGCTTACTCACTGACTGCAACAAACACTTGAGACCCAATTAAGTCAGCAATTCTGCCCCCTCACACGCACATACACAGTCAGATCAAGGTTTGCTGTTGAACAGCAGGATGTGCAAGATTCTTCAAAATCTTCATCAGCGATAATCATTTTCACTATACACTATTAGTGGTATATCTCAGCTCTCAATGAGTTTGAAATAGTTGAATGAATCCAATCACAATATCCAGTGTTATACATTAAAACCACACTTGCTGTCGGAACAAAATCTCTTATCTCCAAAATGGTAACTTCATAGGAGAAAAAAAAACACACTTATCTTGCAATGGAAGTTAACACAAAAAGATTTTTTTGGACCATTTCTATTGATTTCCATTCCATTTGACCGGGAATGTTGGCATACGACTGTTTAATATGCTGTGTAGTATTGGTGCTGAGAAAATAATCATGTTCATTGTTAAATTGTTCAGTATTAGTGTTAGTAAACCTTTTTATTATGGTTATTTATTATATATGGTTATTTCAGTTCATGAAATTGTGGAATATCTTTATAGTTTCTAAATCATATCCTGTAATTTCATAGTGAGTGATTTGAATTATACTTGAATCATAAGCATAGAATCATCGCTGGAATCCAAGTAGTCAAATCCTTAGGGCAGTGGATCCTAGGGTCATTTCTGGTTCAGGGAAGATTTATAATTGCTGTATTTATTTTCAGTATTGTTAATATAATATTTCTATTTTAATTGGTGGTGGCAGATTATTCAGATTCTGATGTTCACTATATTAACATATTTATAAATTACTCAGAACTTACCATAAATTATTAAATAACTACTATGAAACTAATACGTATGGTATGTATTCGGGGAAATGAGGAATGAAAGTCTTGAACTGCATGGTTTCTTGGAGTTAAAGGTTTGAAGTCCTCTTTCATGGTCTAACACCACCTACATTTAGCTGAGCTTCATACTCCACTTTCCTTGCTGCACTGCCTGGTTCTCTGACACTGAACACTTAGATTTCAGTAACTCCACACTGACTGCAGGGGCAGATACTTCAGCATCATGGCCCTTAACCTCTAGAACATTCACTCCTTCTATTCTGCTTTATCTCTTAATTCATTAATAATATTAATAATATTTAATAATATTTCTATTATTATTAGCGGTGATGGAATATTTATTCCAATGAATGTTTCAAATCACTAAGTCTGATTTGCAGATGTGACTGAATCAGTCAAATTCTTAAAACAGGGGTTCCCAATTTTAGTCCTGGCGGTCCTATGCTCTGTACGCTTTTGCATACTCTACACATCTGACCCAGCTAACAAGGAGCTTATTAATTTATTAATGAGTTAAATCAGGTGTGCTAGATGTGCACAGTGTGATGACAACAGGACTAGGACTGGGGCCCTGTGCATATTTTGCTGTTCGAGTTCTTAAAATATGGGCCTCTTTACACCCTGCATGAACATGCATTTCGTATCCACATCAAACCTGGATATCATTTGGCTGGATTCTATTTACACTTTTCACTAAAATGTGTCCCCAGTTTGATCAGATTTGATTGGATTTTACTTTTCCCACATAAAAAGCACAAACAAGCTCGGCTGTACACTTTTAACAGCCGAGAGTGCAAGAAAGCTCTTGGTTTGGACTCCAGCCTCGCACATCTACCAACATTTTGTTTCACTGTTTATCCTCTCACACTCCTAGTGAGCATTTGGCAGATGCATACACTTACTCTTTCCGCATTCTGCTCACACTTGTGTTAAAAGCAGTCAAGAGCTGTTTCTGACCACCTCAGAAACTGTAGTCTGAGTGATGCGATCATAATCTGATCACGGTGTGTCCTTAGGTGTTAAAACCTGGCTTTTCATGCATTCAAGTGAAATATGAACGTGATCGAATCACTAAAAACGCATGTTAATACAAGGTGTAAACAGACTCTATGTGTAATTTTTTACTGTTTTATCTGCTCTAATGTACCTGATTCAGCTTATGAAGGACTTCAGAATGAGCTGATGAGTTCAGGTGTTTCAAATGAAATGCGAAAATATGCATGAGTTGAACCATTTGTATGGTCCTGCGTTTTTGTGTGTGTGTGTGATTCAGATGCCTGAAGGCTACAGCAGTTACAGCAGGGTGAAAATTACATGCCATTTTACAGTATGAGCTACTGAAACAGATTTATTGATTTTGCATTCAAGGGAGTGTGTCTAGTTATTCTTCCACTCCGCATTAGCATCGCTACCTGCAAGATTTTTTTCCTGTTTCACTGCTGGAGCTAAAAGGCTATTTTGGAATTACCATTACAGTAGAGATCACTCAGATTATTTGCAATACTTTTTGCACTGGTACAGGGTATACAGGCTTTCGAAACTTCAAAAGACTACCACACTATATTTCTCTTTTATACTGAGAGAACTAATTTTATTTAAATGTAGTTTGAATTCATCTCAGAGCTGGGGTAGATAAAAGAAAATTACTGCCTTATCCATATTGACCTATAGCACTCATAAATATATTTTGCTAAAATGGATTTCTGCTAAACCACCAACCCCTTCAGAATGGTGACAAGGTGACAATAGGAACACGCCCCCACACCCCCAGAAGTTTGGCCACAATAAATCTTCTCTATGGGACACTAATCCCTGAGACTTAAATTAACACAGCATGGAGAAATAAAAAGTAATTTCAGTCAAGCTGATTTTAAACAAGTTTGGACGGCTCCATCCTGCTAATTGAAGTGTTAATATTGCAGACAGTGCTCCATAAACAGGCTGATGTTGATGATTTTTGATGGTGATGTCTGTATTGACACTGAAGGTGATGTGGCTGTAACTGTCATAATAATTGCTCCAGTAAATATTTATATTTTCTGTGGTTCTCCTATATGTAATGTTGTATACTGTATCATATATTGTTTAGTGTATATGTGTTACACTGTATGTTTATGACTGTTGGCAGGCAGATGCTTAAGCATTACGGATCTTAAGTTGTAGGACATTCTGCATCAACTCCTTCCAGTCTGCTTCATCTCTGAATTGAAAACCTAACTGGTAATTTTCCTTTTCTCAACACTTTAACTCTCCTTCTTACTTGATGTTGATGTTATTCATCTCTCCATGCTCTGCCCACACATGCATCCATTTTTAATTGCATGGCTGCACAAGCAGAATGTTGGCAAAAATAATGCTAACTATCCTAACTTACTAAATACAAAATAAATATATTACGTTATTAATGCACCTTAAATGCCTGTATATTGACAAGGTACAATTTCCCATTATGTTGAATGAGATTTTTGCCAACAGCCTGTAAAGCTTGTCTAACCTTGTCCAACATCCATCCATCCATCCATCACCTAAACCGCTTATCCTTCTGGGTTGCGGTGGGGTGCTGGAGCCTATCCCAGCTGTCATTGGGCAGAACGCAGTCCATCGCAGGGCACCTTGTCCAACAGTTACTAAGAAAGTACACATTTGTGGGCAGAGCACAGAGAGATCAACTGATCCTGTTCTTGTGCATATTTTTGTCTTGTACCAACACACTCTTCCATGGCACTGCACAAAGAATCCTTTCAGGCACCTTTATTTTTAAGAGTGCTGCTGATTTTTCTCTCTTTCTGTGACTGACATGTCAGAAGCTACTTAAAAGGGCCTTTACCTAAGCCTTAATGTCTTGGTATGAAATTTTTCAGGCTCATGTAGCCAGTATTTGTGTTACAGACCTGATACGTGTGCTGATGCTGGAATGGACTCTGGGCAGAGTGATGGTGAGCTTTCCTCCCTCCTCAGGGTCATGTGCATATCTGGCTGGTTTGCTGGTCAGCAGGTCTGGTGCGGTGCGGATGGACACCTGTTGCTGCAGCCCACCTGCGCTGTTGCCTCTGCTCATCAGAACGAAGGAGTAATCCGTGTCCGGCTGCAAGCGAGTGATCAGCTTCCTCTTCAGGTCTCCCTGCACCTCCACACTCTGCTGATTATACAGGATCTGCCAGCAGAGGGCGCTCACATTAACACATCACAACATAAGACACCCTGCACTGATATGCCTTCATCTAAACCCTTATCTTTGTGTCTGCTTTTTTTGCGTTGGATCTCTTAAAATTTACAGGTACATTTCACAGGATGAATAATTAAACATAAATCTATGGAGATATGCAGATAATGAGACATAAGAAAATACACACCGATCAGGCATAACATTATTACATTACATTATTTTAAACACCTCAGTGTCACTGCTGGACTGAGAATAGTCCACCAACCAAAAATATCCAGCCAACAGCGTCCTGTGGGCAGTGTCCTGTGACCACTGATGAAGGACTAGAGGATGACCAACACAAACTGTACAGCAGCAGATGAGCTATCGTCTCTGACTTTACATCTACAAGGTGGACTGACAAGGTAGGAGTGTCCAATAGAGTGGACAGTGAGTGGACACAGTGTTTAAAAACTCCTGCAGCACTACTGTGTCTGATCCACTCGTACCAGCACAACACACACTAACACACCACCACCACCACGTCAGTGTTACTGCAGTGCTGAGAATGATCCACCACCCAAATAGTACCTGCTCTGTGAGGGTCCATGGGGGTCCTGACCACTGAAGAACAGGGTAAAAGGGGTCTAACAAAGTACACAGAGAAACAGATGGACTACAGTCTGTAACTGTAGAACTACAAAGTGCACCTATATAGTAAGTGGAGCTGATAAAATGGACAATGAGCATAGAAACAAGGAGGTGGTCATAATGTTATGCCTCATCGGTGTATATTATTAAGATGACACTTGAAAGTTCAGCATCATGTTTTCATTATGAATAAATATGCAAACATATAAAACCAATTTGGTTTCAAATTAATGTATGAAATGAGTTTGGTATGTTTGTCCTGTGCAATGTCATAGCTTCCATACAATTTATAGGAAGTTTAAACAATTTGTGTCCAGAATGATGGACACAACTGATTCTAAAGTGATTGAGAAATCAGAAAATTTAATTATGATAAAGTTAACATCCAGAATGCCACATATTTGAAAAGTGGTGATAAAATATTAAGGCAAATATTAAGACAAAAAACAGCAGAAATATCCACTTTTTTTGTCGCCCTTAAGAGGTTAATTAAATATCATGAATAATATACATTTTAAAACAGAGGTATCCATGTCCGACTACATAACATATATTACAGTGTATGCTCACATTTATACATACACACATGAATGTACACAAGCATTCACAAATGCATTTATGTCCCCATCTTTCCATCTGACCTTCACAAACTTAGTATAGCAGACTTTTGTAGTTGACAGAGCGGAGATTCTCTCTCTGACTGTCTGTTAGTATATTTGCCTGTTTCTCTCTCTTTGCTAGTCTCAGTAAGTCTGTCTCTCTTTCTTCCCTTTTTTCTTTCTCATCTGTGTGTTGATGTGTATATCTCACCTTGAAAGGTGCTTGAGACTTGTATGTTTCGGGCACCTCCCAAGTGAGCAAAACAGACGACTTCATCACGGCTTTCACTCCAAAGTTTTTGGTGAACTCTGAGGACAAAGATGGGTAAAGAAGGTTCAGTCATTTTTTCTGGTTATATGTTACATTATTACTGGTTCAGCATTTTAAAATATTTTGGAAAAACACAGAAGAAAAACATCATTCCTGACTATAATCTGGGATTTTTTAGATGTTTTGGATGGGCTACCTCTACACGTAACAGCAAATTTTGATGGTTGCAGATGGTTGAATACTCTTTTAACATGCTTGTAATCATCAGATTAGATCAAACCGAAATACAACCAACGTTATAACATGATGATTTCCAACCTGTCGCACTCACTCCTGTCATAATGAAATGTTTGTACAAACTGGTCCTTATACATCTGAAGGCCCATTTACCTACCACTACATTCTGTTTTGACCATCCTGGACACCAGTAACCAGTGTTTTCTTGTTCAGCATCCAATCCAGTCATCTCTTCTAAGCTTGTCACTTAACTCAGTGAGCTTGCCATTAGCCCCTCCCTCTGTGACTGGATTTTGGATATTTTAAATACCAGACCCCCGACAGTTAGAAGAGACAGCCTTACTTCCCCTACTCTGACCCTTAATACTGCTGCACTACAAGGTTACATGTTGAGTTCTTTACTCTATTCACTCCTGTCCGAACGGAAGTCCCTGCAATGGGTGGTGAAAACCACCCAATGCATCATCGGTACACAGCTTCCCACAGTCAATGCAGCTTCATTGTGGACAATGGAAAGCACACAACATCATTAGATTTGTTTCTTATCCTGGCTATAAACGTTTTACCCTCCTTCCATCCAGGAGGCGCTATATGTGTCTCTGTGCCAACACTAGCAGACTGAGGAACAGTTTCTTCCCTGCAGCTGTTACTCTGTTAAACTCTGCACCCCGGCATCGGACAACAACACCCTTTACCATTCACTAACACCCCACTACATTGTGATACATTGTGATATTCACTACATCATATATATACCTAAACCAGGTTAACATGCTCACACCTCCACACACTGACCCCATTATACATGTGTATATGTGTTTATTAGGCTGCATATTTTTGTTCTGTTCTGCTATACACCAGAGAGGTCCCCAGAGAAGTGTAGCCTTAAAGACACGCTGAACAAGATGTATTTCACCATACAAATATAACAACTGTGCAATTGTGAATACGAGTGCTTGAGTACTCTGTTAACCGTTCCAGGTGCAAGTATTTGAATACTGAATTTTTACTGAATCTTGATTTTTTATAACCAGGTAGCATTAATCATAAAATGTTTAGGAATGCAACATGCTAAATAAATACTGTAAAACTTCATAAAAATGAAGGTTGGAACTGAAATGTGCAGATGTCTGACCCCATTAATGCTCTCTTTTTCCTTTGTTTCCAAAACCCAATCCCATTTCAGCCCTTGCCCCTACCACTTTGCCCTCTGTTTTGCGCGTTCACGTCTAGGGTTAGGCTGTCCCAATTTTTATTGAGATAGAGGGGTAGGGCGAAGGGTTAGCGCTACATGGCCCTCCAAACGGAGGTTTTTCAGAGGCACACTCCAACCGGAGTGTTATGAGAAAAAAAGAAAAACTGGCAAGATGGCTGTGCGAGCTACCAAAGAAACTCACAAATGTAAGTATTTTCTCTGGTAAAAAGTTACGATAACCATCTTCATAACAAGCATAAAATCGCTAATAGCATGCTAATGTCACGGTAGCTAGCTAGCTAACTTTCCCTTCCACCTTAAATAGTCCAGCAGTATTGATGCCTGAAGCGCCAGAATGTAACTGCTGCATCATTTAAGGTGGAATGGGAAAATTTGAACAAGAAGCTGGTGAACCAAAGAACTGCGGTGGGCGATAATAAATAATTATCTCATACCCCCTCTTTAAAAGCATATGATGCCCTAAATGTAACTAAAGCCCAACGGCGAGGTTGCTGAACTTTGCCCTTCTCTGCTATCACTGAAGACGGGCCGGGTCACCTACAGAGCACCGCTAGTAGCCTGTTAATGAGGTAAGGTTTTTTTTTTTTTGAGGGTTGTCCCATTTCGTAGGGCAAGATTTCAACCACTACCCCTTATAACTGGGGTTGGGCCTTAGAATATATAGTTGTCTTATAGTATTCTTTTTTCTTCTAGGCAGGAATGAAGTGATTTCCTGTAATTTTGTATTTTGCTACACATATTCCTACTCTTCAATGAATATTTGAAAATGAAATAAAAAAAAGCTAAATTGCAGACTGAAATGACTCAGTGCACCTCAGAATACATAATGGATAGCATTCTGACAGGATGAATTATTAATTACTAATAAGGGTAGAGGCCTGTATCATGAGGCCTCTAATGAAAATGCAAACATGTGTTCTGCAATTTATATGCGAGGAATAAATAAATCAAAGTAAACTGTCTATGTGTGTTTACTTATAAACAAACTGCACTGTAACCAAAGAGCTGCAATGCAACTGTGCCAGATATACCATAGATAGTCTAATAGGAGTGTGTGTTTGTGTGTGTGTGTCCAAGTTGTCCAAGTCCAAGCTGTGCCTGTCCTGTCACTGCGATACAGTTACCACCAGCATCCACAAGCCATACATCTGCTGCTTTCCACAACCATCTGCTCTATATGAATACTGTGTATGTGTGTGTATGTGTGCCCATGCGCGCACACTCCTCAGTCACTGACCACCAGTGTTGGTGTAGTTACTAAAAAAAGTAATACATCACATATTATTATTATTCCTTCTCTGAAAAGAGATTACATTACAGCAGAGGTCCTTTGTTGTGATTTTCTGGCAGTTGTGAGGAAAAATCTAGTAAAGTTATTCAAGTGTACCAAAGAAACGCAAAAGAGGGAGGAAAGCAAAATGTTTGTCGCGTCACACACAGGGTTAATTTAGTTTTTTTCAGTCAGAACAGAGTGCTGCGCAGGCTCAGCAGACTGTACATAATGCTAGCATTAATGTTAGCAGAGACAGCTCCAGTGTTGGGGTCATTACTCAAAAAAAACAAACAAACAAAAAATTCAGGTTACTAATTACTTCTCTTAAAATTTTGCCGGAAAAAGTCACTGCCCATTACTTTAAATCTATGTTATTCTGTACCAAATTGTTTCACTACTTTGTTTGATGTTTTTGCTTGTTTTAAGTATTATTTCTTCTGGATATTAATTTTATTAAAACTCTCTGTAGATGTTAATTTTATTACAAGTTAATTCTGAATGTAAATTGAGATATTCCCTCATTCTCAATGTTATACAGCTTGCTAAGGTATTTTAGAATCATGTACTGTTCATCATTCTAGACATATGTAACATTTTTGCATTTTTCACAGCTTCCTACTAGTGAAGCTGCACTGGACTTTTGATTTCAAATTATTCCAAACATTTAAATGTTCAATAAAACTTTTCCAGAATCTGCATGTGTGTATGTACATACAGCACTGTTCAAAAGTCTTAGGTACTCAAAAACATTGTTCAAAACTATTTTTCAGAACAGTAAGTGTGTTTTTGCCAGTAAAACTCTATATAACATTACAATAAATACCAATAAGACATAAATACAGTAAAAAGTCACAAAAATTGTCCTTTAAAAAAATAGACAAGATATTGTGAGCTAAGGAACAAAGGTTTGGTACTGGACTTCATCTCAACCCCCCAGCCACTGCATAATTTGTTCAAATCCACCACCAGCACACCTGATTTACCCTAATTTTACACTCTGTAAGCACAGCAGTGGTGTGACTGCTATAGCTTACACACGCTGACCATTCTTACATATGCTGTTTGTGCCGCTGGACGATGGAGGAAGAAAGTTATACAGTCATCCTTTTTCCAAATGAACAAACATTCAAATCAGTCTCTCTGCTGAAGTAAATTTTAAAAAGAGCACGGTACATTTGTTGACCCTCAGCAGCATTCTGACTTTTGATTGGGCAATGCTCCCAAGCCTGGTAGCCCAACAGGGAAATATGTATGCAGCATGGAATGTTTAACCAGTATTACATTTGATAACATTTATGAATGAAATTAAAGAAAAGAGTTTTCCTTTTTTTTATTTTTGTTCGGTTTTCTGTTTCATTTTCACTGACTTTCATGGCTTAATTCAGTGTATTTTGTAAAAAAAAAAAGGGTCCTCATCTATTCTCTAAATTCCGCACTGCATGCTGCGTATGGGACACTCTGCCTCTCTGCTTGTGTAACCTGTGTGAAATCGCTCACCTGTTAACATGAGTGTCGAAATGAAAATCAAGGCATTCCGTGTTGCTCATGCCACACAGAGGTAATGTGTGAACCAGCCCTGAAACTTTTGCACTGTACTGTATGGGTGTATGTGTCTGTGTGAGTATGTATATGTATGTGTGTTTCTCACCTGGCATAGAGGTGGCCATGGTCCTACTCTGGATGCTGGGGCTGAGGGGTCCACCTCCTTTACTAGTAAAGGCCCTGACCCTGATGTCGTACGTGGTGTCTGGCTGCAGTCCATTTATGGTCATGCTTGTGTTTGTGGTGCTAATGGTGTTATTCTGTTGACTATTTATGTCTCTGTACACCACCATGTAGCGTATAATCTTGCCGTTTCTCTCTGCAAGCGGCGGGGGGTCCCAGGCCAGCTTGGTGGAGCTGGTGGTCAGCCCCACCACATTCAGGTTCTGCGGGTAGCTGCCGGGAATGTCCTCAGGGGTTGTGACCTCTTTGGTGCATTCCTCGCCACTTCCGGCACGGTTCTTGGCGCTCAGTTTGAAGACGTAGGTGGCACCCTTGTGCAGGCCGGTGACGGTGAAGTGGTCGTCATCGCGTTTGAATTCTCGGACTGTGAAGGACTCATCCTCCTCACGTTTGTACTGCAGCCTGTAACCTACCAGCTCCCCGACTATCTCTTTAGGGGGCTGCCACTGGATCAGAGCCGTGTTTCCTATAGTGGTGCTAATGATCATGGTGGGCTTGCCTGGGACTGAGTGAGAAAAAAAACAAACAAATCAGAAATATTTTATTGTCCAACTATACTTATTAACTTATTAAATAACTAAACTATATGATAACCTTATTATCAAACTCTGATTAACTAACTCTCTGTCATGGCAGGCTTGCCTAGAACTGAGAGAAAAGGATAAACGATTCATCAGATTAGAATCAGAATCAAAAAAAGAATTACTTTTGTCCAAGTATACTTATATTACCCCTTAAAAGTTTGGAATCACTTGTTATAATAATAATTTGTGCTTTTTAATATACATACAATAGAATCTGTTCATCATTCTGAACATAGCTACAATTTCTTGATTTTTTTAAAAACAGATTCATAGTTTCCTACTAACTATCTGAAACCTATGAAATTGCACAGGATTAGCATACATAGACATATAAGGGACAATATTCCTCTCATCCCAAATGTAGTTAACCAGCAAACAGCCTCTGTAGTTTTAGGAGTTTTAGGAGCTACAAAGTTAATGTAGCTAATAAGCAATGTTAACTATAATGAACTGCAAGTGTAAATTATCACACATTTGCCTCCAACAGAGCTATTATCTACTGTCAAATAGACTTGCTTATTCAAACACTGTTATCCATAAAAATGGACAAAAATACAGACCAAATTCAACCTTCAGCCTGCTGTACAACCATTTTATTTGTGTTATTGTTTCAGTTGTGTTTAATACATCAGTATGTTTTGAATGAAATGAACAATATAGATAAATATTATTCCTTATATAGAAGAGCGAAAAACAGCATCAGTCACATTTACTAGAGTGTTTATGCATAATAACACATGCTGTTTCAAGGGGCTTTTTCACTGTAGATGACAACATCTGTAGTGAAAAGCGCAAAACAAAAACAATTGATTTTCCGACTGGACCGAATGAATGATTTATGTGAAGATCTGATGGAGTTGCACAGTACAGTATTGTGGCAATGCATATAGCATGGTAATGGCTACTGGTGCTGTAATGCATGTAGCAATGCACCTTTTATGGCAATGAATGGCAATATGTTTGCTATTAAAGGAATTCCGTGTCCTTCTATATCTGTTATTAGGAGTGCAGAGTGCAGAGGGAGGTTGTGTGAAGGTTAGTGGCTTTTTGCTGTTTTTGCTGTTTGTGTGATATCTGTGCTAACAGCTCCACTTTATAACTCTTAAAACACTGACACTTTTTAACAGTGAACTCTGAATGAACTCTAAATGACTTTTCACTCCTTTTAGTCATAAACTAGCTAGGACACACACACACGCACTTCCACTAGACAAGGCAGACCCTTCAAAGTTAACAGTCTTGTTGTGCATATATAGTGTGGGGTCAGAGTAGTACTACTGCACAAAATTAAGAACTCAGTGAATACACTGAACATCTAAATACACTAAGTTTTACGTTCTTTATATTTATTATTGAGAAGCACAATAGTGGTTGACTGATTAGGAGTTTATTTATAGCCGGTTAATTTAGATCAGAAGAATTTAAGTGCGACTGAATGTCTTACATCTCATACTGTTCCAAAGAATAATTTCTTTGGAAATGTACATTATATGGCCAAAAGTTTGTGGACACCTGAAAATCACACCAATACTATATGGTCACAAGTACATAGACACCTGATCATCACATCTATAAGAGCTTGTTGGACATCCTATTCCAAAACAATGGTTATTATTAAGGTGTTGCCCCATGGACCACACTTTGAGTACAGTAACAGACAGGGCCTTCCTCAGCCTGTTGCCACAAAGCTGGAAACATTTAATTGCCTTTGTATGCTGTACCATAAACATTACAATTCACTGGAACTAAGGGTCCTAGCCCAAACCCTGAAAAACAGCCACAGACAATTATTCCTCCTCCACCAAACTTAGTATCTGATTTTAGTGAATCTTTATATTTGCTAAACACATTGTAAATTGTATTTTGGCCAAAAAAATGAGCACATAGCACATGAACATTGATTGATAGGAAGCAAAATTGCCTACCGGCTGAACCCTAACATCCAAGCACATACCTGCTCCAGCTGTGGTCACCACTTTAGCTTTACTGCGGGCTCCATCCCCTTTAGTAGTGTATGCTGCTACAGTGATGGAGTAGGAGGTCTCCGCCTGCAGGCCTGTGATGAAGGCCTCCTGAGGAAGAACAGGAGAGAAAATGATGAGCCTGAATGTGTGAGTGGGAGAGAGAGAGAGAGAGAGAGAGAGAGACAGAGGTTGAGAAGGTCTTCATCAATCACCACATTCCTCTACATCAGTGATCTGCAATTGTCCACATGCAAGGATTTTGTTTTGTCAAAAATGACATTTTAATAAAAATGAACAACAATTCAATATTTAACATAAATTATGGAACCCATTACAAAGTAACCTAGCCAAACACACACACTTTTCTTTTACAGCTCAGAAGCTTTAGCATTAGCAAGACAATAGTCATTAAGTTAGCCTAGTTAGTTATAGTAGCCTTAGTCAACTGTTAAATGATAACATAAGCAATGTAACCTCATAAAAATGCCATAATCAACGATTATGTCTGAAAACACCTGATAAACAGGCCTACTCATATCAGATTAATACAAACCTTCAACAAGCAATATTAGACAAGCTTACAGATTATAGACAATATCAGTTACCTATAAAAAAGCCCTTTGCCCACTAGACAATGATGAGGTCAAAGTTGAGCCCACTGGAAAAGATATGTGAACCAATGAGCTAGATTATATTTAACCTCTTAAACTTCAGGCAAGATATTCAGTTACTATTTAGAATGTATTATTTGATAACAACTATTCATTATTCAGTATCTATTATAAATTATTCAAAATCTGCTATAAATCATTCAGTATCTTTAACAAAACTAATGTGTAATTTAGTCCATATGCAAACACTTGAGAGGTTAAACACTGTCCAAAGAACATAAATAAGCAAACTTTTTCAGTTGTCTAAGAGAGGAGAGGGCTTTAGAACCTAGAAAACCTTCTGGAACAGTTACAAATAGCTGGCAGACGAAGAACGGAAGACTTCTGATGATAAGTTTACGAATGTAGCAGTGTTTGGCTGCTCTGCAGGAGGGCAACATCAGATGCCTCAAAACAAGTACACAGATTGTGATTCTGACAGCAATACATCTCATTTCCCATTTCCTTAGGAGTAATTTGAATATTAGAAGAAATGCTGTGTTAATATTAGCACAGTTAGCTCCTCTCTAGAACATCTTGGTGAAAAAACAACTTTACTTAATTTTCCTCTTACCCCAGATGTAGTCGATCAGCCAAGACATGCTTGGGCCCTACAGGACATCGACAAGTCTGTGTGACCTTAATGAAGATCTGGATGAAGATTAAAAGGGGTTTCTGAGATGTCTTAAAATAAAGAAGCAAAATGTGGACTCCAAATATGTCCAATAAATATGGCCAATCAACTACATCTTGGGCAACTGGAAAACTATGTAAATTGATTTTTTTGGCTGAACTGTTCATTTAAAGCTTTGTGCAGAGTAGACAGTTAGGTGGAAAAAGATCAGTTAGCAATCTTTACAGTTTCATTCTGCTGTGTTGGTTCAGCTTCTGGACTGCCTTGCTGTTGTTCGCTCCTCTAATTTTGGAGATTTAGCATTTTATTTTAGACCAAAAGGATCCAAAAGCTGGATGATGCTGGACAAATCAAGATGTTCTTCTATAGTCCTTTAAGGAACTCAGCAATCTGGGAGTTTCTAGACCTGATAGTTTGTACCTCAAATTGCTTTTGCTAGGCTTCTTCTACTTCTGCTTGAATCATTATTTCATTTTTATTTTAAGTTATGGTACTTTTATTTTAAGGTGGTTTCAGGCTATTCTAAACACCTAAATTTCTTTTCCACAGTCAGTCAGAGCATTACTACCACATGCAACTATTTTTGTTTTGTAAAATTATTTTTAAAAAGTTTACAATTATGCTCATATTAGTTTTGTGCCTTCACATTTTAACCGGATACAGAATAAAAAAATACATATTTTTAAAAAATGGACGACTAAAAAAGTTACTTAGAAGACTAGCCAAAGGGTTCCCATTGCAGGTGGAAGCTACAGAAGTTAATTTAATGTAAAACCTAATAATCAATCATTTCTGACTCTCCCAAGAATAATTTTCCACATCTTTAAGTAGAACTACCTTCCTTTCCTAATTAGAGCTGAGTTTTATAACCTGAGTAGTTGGTGCCATGCTGAGGTCGAGGGGAGGCGACGAGAGGGAAATATGAATTATCTCTAGCTTTTAAATTCTTATTAAATGCCTCATTATTCTAATAGTAGGGGATCTCTCCGCTGTGTTTTCTTCCCTCCTGTCCTTCGTCTTCACTCATTTTTTTACTCAGCCTTTCTAATCTTGCATGGTGGCATTAAGAAAAGGATGATGGAGAGATAGAGAGAATGGAGAGGTGGAGACTTTAAAAAAGAGATGAGCATGCCACCATCAATGTGTGTATGTGTGTTTGTGTGTGTGTGTGTGTGTGTGTGTGAGAGGGAGAGAGAGAGAGAGAGAGAGAGATCTTAATCTGTGTGGAGTGATATGACAGTCATGCCTCATTAATCTCCATATCACAGTGCGGGAGAGGGAGAGAGAGAGAGAGAGAGAGAGAGAGAGAGAGAGAGACAGAGAGAGAGAGACAGAGAGAAAGAAAGACTACTCATGACAGAAGACAAACATAGAAAAGTAAGGGGGAAAGAGAGAAATGGAAAGAAAATGAGAGAAAGAAAAAGGGAGAAAAAGGACAGATAAGATGACTTATCAGAGGAGAGAGAGTGGTAGAGAAAAAGTGGTAAAAACGGTGACTGATGGCAAGTGATGGAGAGAGAGAAAGAATGTGGGAGGGACAGAGACAAATAGAAGAAGAAAGTAACAGAGAGACAGCTAGAAAAGAGAAAAAGTGACCGAGAGAGAGTGAGAAAGGAGGTAAAGAGTGTGAGACAAGAGAGAAAGAGATTTAGAGCTTGAAAGGATAGATAGAAATAAAGAAAGACTGTAGGAAATGAATAAAGTAAGAGAGACAGAGAAGGAGAGAGTGAGACAGAGAGAAAGAGAGAGACAGAGAGAGAGATAGAGGGAGAGAGATATTTATATAGAGAGAGAGACAGACACAGAGAGAGAGAGAGAGAGAGAGAGAGGAGAGAGATAGAGAGAGGGAGACTAAAGGGAATATAAAGCAGTAAATGAGTGGGTTGGAATTCAGCTCTGTAATTACAGCTCTAATCTGGATGAACACATGAGAGCTCCTCTGCAACCTTGGGTAAAGTTGGAGAGCAGAAGAACAATAAAACAACACAATCCCTCCCTCTACTCTCTCTTATTCTCTTTCTCTCAGGGAGGCAGGGTCTATATTACACAGTGGCATCACGTCCCAACCTAACACGACACATAAACTATTTTTTTAATTTTTTCTTTCTTTGTTTATAACTAATATCTTGAAATTATTTTTTGATTGATCTATTTCTACTTTCACTGTTTTTTTTTATATTTATCCTTGTATTACTTGTTTTGGCAATAATGTAACTTCTAACATTCACACCAACAGTGCACTGGTGAAGTGAACTGCTACTATTTGTTGTAGCACTGCAGTGACACTGATGTTTATATTTCCGCAGCTTTACACCTACATGCGCACATAGCTAGGGAAACAACTCACACATCCAGACCCCAGAACTCTTAGGGAACAGATAGATTCTGACCATAATACACACCATACTTCATATTAAATTATTCATTTTCAGGACTATAATGTCATTGAAATACCTAGACACACTGTCTGGCGGCTCTGATACAACACGTCTGTGTCTCTGCATGTGTGTGTGTGTGTGTGAATATGGTTCAACTTTTCGATGGACACTTCAGCAGGGGGGAGCTCTGTAATGGCTAAAAGCGAGATGATTCTGAACTCTTGACGTTTATTGTCATTTCTTTGTTGAAAATGAATTTTCAAAACTACATTCAGGCAAATTGAGCTACAATTTCTGGGGCTTTTATTCATAAAAAGTGAGATTTTACCCACTAAATTCAATCCTCTAAATTAGTGGGGGCTGATGCTGATGTTGTTAGTTCCCAAAAAACTGAAACCAATTAGACACACACATGATGAGAGCTGAATCGCAAGCCCAAAGTCACCCAGCACACACTTCAGCTACTCACATGGTCCGTGGAGTCTTCTGCAACCCACTGACACACACATACACACACACACAGATCAAGAAAACAAGTCAATGACATAATTCAAGAACAAAATAAAGTTACATTCTGAACTTTTTTTGCCTTTTTTAAAAAGAAAGATGAACAGACAAGAGACAGTCACTCATGGTGCAAAGGAGGAGCTGCACAATGCTAACTGGTGGGGTATAAGCTTCCATTACTTGTTAGCCTTGTATATCCAGTGAAAACATAAGAAGCAAACTTCAGACACCAAAAATGTCTTGGTTGACCGACTATATTTGTGGAAAGAGGAAAAAAAATATATTTTTTTTATGGCCAAACCATCACTCTAAGCTTGGAAAATCCACTGTTCAGCCATGAACAACAAACTTGCAAACAAAGACAGATAGGGTCTTGCAAAAACGGCCCAAAATCCCCTTTTAGTTTCAGACTGGAGAGAGATTACATTCTGTCTTGTGTTGCTTGGGTGATTGATGTACCAATAAAACACTACAAATCCCATAAGCCCATGCTTCTGGGCCAGCATGTGATTTTAGACAGGGACAGCTGGGCTTTGTAGTTGTAGTTTTGCTTCTATTGCTTGAGTAACTGTCACACTAAAGGTATTATGATATACAACCTCTTCATTCGAAGCAGACACACACCCCAGTGACGATTTCACTCTAACCTGCTGGCTAACTCCCTGTAGTGTGTACGTGTGTGTATGTGTGCCTGTGTGTGAGTGATTTACCTCTGCTGCTCTGCTGTAATGTGTCTGTCAGTGTGTTGAGATTAAGTTTCACCTTCAGAGGTTGGAGCTTTACTGCTTATTCAGCTTCAGCTTCGGTAATACATTTTACTTCTCCTCTACATACACACACACTATCAAACATCTCTTTTTAAGCTAAGCCTGCTTCCCTGTCTCCTCTAACCTCTTTCTGCAGGCCCCCTAGTGGCCATTCTGCCAGTGAAATGGTAAACAATTTTATTTGGTAAACATAATCAAAATGTTATATTTTTCGTAACTCTGTTATTAACTGTTATTAGTCTAACTAGGACACTACTGGCTGTCTGTATATGAAATGTTTTGTGAGTGAAATGTGTTGAGCTGGGAGTAGGGCTGGAGGATTTGCATTTTTTTCTAACGAGTACTGCAAATGGAATGCAAATGCTCCAGGTTTTTTTTTTTGGCCATCTCATTGATTTTTCTGGGCTTTAGACTTTAATGCTTTATGTAGTCTGACAGTTCGTGAACTCTGTGTACAACTTAAAACTTGTTAAGACAAATGTGAATGATGCTGTATATTTAATTACATGCTGCATTGTTCAAATTTGTCTTAACAAGTGCAGCTCTTGCGATTTGCCAATTGCTTTCTTTCACATTGAGATTTTGATGTTATAGTAGAGAAGTGAGAACTTCACACTGTGAAAACAATTCACACCTCTTCACAAAGACAGTCATGCCAGGATAAGATAGACTGAACAACTGCAGCTTTTGTTTCTATATATATATATATATATATTATATATATATATATATATATATATATATATATGTATATTAAAAATGTCACTATAATAAAATGTGTCCTACTGCTACAAGCATTTAAACACAATGAAAACCCTTTTAGAAACATTGACTTGCTTGCCCACCTACAACGATGAAAAGCTAGTTGATTTTATACATCATACACAGTTTTATCAAAATATATTCCATCTGCATTCAAAAAAGGCAAGGAATAGCATTTTATCGCTACAGTGAAAAAGAGTTAACCCTATCTTCCCTAATGTATGGTGGGTGATCCAACCAGAGTCAATGTCTCTTTCTCCTTTAACTCCTTCAAATCTGCCCTCAGAGTAGTTGGGACATTTGCATGTCCATGTTCATGATGGTAAAATAACCTTAAAGTATTAGGGTTTTAATGAAATAAGGGTTTTATTCCTCCCGTAAACATAGTAACCATGGCTGATGGTTATTCACCCCCAGATAAGCTAAAAGCTTTACAAGCCACTGCTGCCACCCAAAGGACTGATCAGGTTAAAGGAGGCATTTTTATTCATTTATATTCTACACCACAACCTCACTACAGCTAATAAAAGACAAAAAGTCTGCAGCTCTGTAAAATACGTTAATCATAAAACAGAGAGAGATGGACAAAGTACAGAAAGATAGATAGAGAAAGAAAGAGAGAGAAAAAGTAGAGATAGAAAGGTAGAGAGAGAGTACAGAAAGACAGTTAGAGAAAGATAAAGAGAGATTGAGTGATGGGTGACAGAGAGAGAGAGAGAGAGGGAGCGACTACATGACAGAGAGTAGAGAAAGACAGAGAAAGATAAAGAGAGAAAGGAGATAAAAAGAAAGGAAAGAGAGAGTGAGAGAAAGGGGAGAAGGAGGACAGATGGAGAACAAGAGAGAAAGAGAAAGATAGAAGATAGAAAGATAAAAAATTGACAGAAAGATAGAAAGATAAAAAAGAGTGAGTGACAAGAATGCAAAGGAGAGAGACCGAGAGAGAAAGGAGTGAGAGAAGACAATAGAAAAAGATGGACAGAGAGCGAGAGAGAAAGAGAGAGTTTGTATTGTTAGAGTGTGTAATTTGACAATAAATTACACACACATCTATACATTCACCTCCAGCCACACTACAGCCAACACCACACTCCAGGGCATGTGCGTGAGTGTGTGTGGGAGGTGTTATGGTGTGTGAACTACAGATGAACTCCACTTTGAACCTGTTAGTCTCTGGTGTTAAAGCAGCTGTCAATCATTTCTGCATTCTGTGTTACACCAAACCTCTGAGGCTTACAGTGACCTGTGTGTGTGTGTGTCTACTGTATGTGACTAAAATGCCCTGCAGGCTACAGCAGCATACTCCTGACCCAGGTGATCCATGTGTGACACACATACACACATTTCATATTTCATCACATACTACACATAAACATTTCAAAATCATCTGAAAAACTCATACAGAACTCATACTTTCTGTCCCCGTACTGTGTTTGTGTCTGTGTGTGCTGTATGTGATTGAGATACTACAGTGGCCTGTATGTGACCCAGCAGACCTGGGCATGTATGTTGACTCATGAATGAAAAAGTACCCACATCCTGTATTTATCCCTTACAATAAAACAGGCTATTTTTGTTACTGTGTCTTTAACACTGATGTATGTAAATGACCTCTGTTCTCATTGGCTGCCATGTATTGAGCTTCATTCAAAAAGTAGTCCAGACTGAAGCACTCTTTATCACCGGAGCATGAATGAGTTGAGCTAAACTGCTGTAGGCTGAATGAACAGTATGTTTTAAAACGTTAACAATGTTTACATACTACTTCAAGTCTTACATTTCAAAAAAAGACAGAAAAAATTTGTTCCTCTTGACGTGGCCCTTTTAAGGGACAACAGTGTGTGTGTGGGTGTGTGTGCGTGCACGTTAGTGGAATTTGTTGCTATAAGTTATCAAATTTATCATTTATTTATTTTATTTACGTAGGCAAGGTACAAAGTTAAAGATTCTATTTCCCGATTGTTTTTATTTTAATTTTCTCCTGATTAAAAACAATAAAGTATAAATCCTTTTACATTTTTGCATACAATACAATAGGACTGGAATGGGGTTGGCGGGGGGGACACCAAACTATGATATCGCTTGGGACCTCCAAATTTTTAGAAACAACATTTTTGTGTAAAGTAACTGTTTAAATAATGAACATCAAATAAATGTATGTAGTTTCTTCAACAGCATCTACAGATCAGCTTTCTATGAAGACAAACGGAAAAACTTTGAATCACACACAAGCACGCACACACACACACACAGCAGGGAGAAGAGTAGCAATACTGAGACAATCCAGTTACGCTGGAGTCCCAACCTGCTTCTTTTATTAAAGGAATTGTTTGGCTACAAAATAAAATTTACACCATTTTCCTCCTTAGTCCATATGTAGCTGACCATGTTTGTTTTGTTTTAGAGCCATGAGGCTAAAGTAGCTATTACGTAATGAAGGCTTATACCCCACCAATTAGCATGGTGCAAACTGCCTGCATAAATCATGACAGGCTTGCCTTAAACCATGTCAAGTTGTTAAGTAATCTCAAATAGACCTGCTTTTGTGGTTTCTATAAAAACAGACAAAAGTATGGATGAAATTAGGTTATACAATGTAAGGTATCATGTCTATTTTAGATTTTTTAAGAACTCAGTTGGACACAAGTGTGTGCTGTTTAAGGCATGCAGTTTGCACTATGTTAATCTGTGGTAATCTGAGCTTCAATAATTTTGCGAAATCAGCCTCATGGTTCCAAATCCATACTAAAGAAGCAAACTTCATACAACATTGGCTGATTGACTAGATTTGGGGTAAAGGGGGTGAACTGTCAGAATTTTTCACTGTTTTTAACTATCACTTTCAGGAGTCGAGGGAAGAATGCATTCACTCGCCAAAGAAAGGAGCATTCAGTATTCGCAATTTTTCTGTCACAAATTCTGAGATAAGGCTGATAAATGTGACAGCTGTTGGCTCTGTAATGCACTCAGAGTAATGCACGGAGTGACTGTGATTAAATCCCTGTAAAATCACACTGAAAAGATTCAGGTTCAGTAAAAACATTCCCTGAGAATATACAACAGATTGCTGACATAAGATCAGTCGGTTGTTTTAGTCTAGTCAAAACATTAACTGACAACCTAAAATGCTGATCTACAGTCAGCCACTAAAAAACACATTATGCTAAGATTGTCATAATTATTTCTGGCTGGCAGTTTAAACATGGACCTCTTTCTCATTCCTCCCAAAAGACAACATGGTTCAGAACTAAACAGCAAAGGTAAGCAGAATGCTGTCACTTCATGTCAGCTTTCTTCATCAGTTACAGTACTGGTTCAGACTCCACAAGTGTGCTCATATAGCCATAACCTGTACACTTACAGCAGCAAGGGTCACTGCAACACGACAAAGGTCAAGATTGGGAAGTTTCTGGAATGACCAAAATACTGTTTTGAAACTTTTCACAGGTAAACAAGTGAA